GAGGTGGGAACTGGATTAGGTCCTACCCTTGAATTCTACACACTTTTAAGTCATGAATTGCAGAGGGCTGGACTTGGGATGTGGAGGTCTAATTCTTTACAAGAATCAATAGAAAGTGATGAAGATGGACAGCTTAGGAAGGCCAAAGGTGGTTCTAGGCTTATTTCTGATGCAGGCAATATTGATATCATTCAATCTCCTCTCGGGTTGTTCCCTAGACCTTGGTCACCAGATGCCGATTCTTCTGATGGCAGCCAATTTTCGAAGGTTATTGAGTATTTCCGGCTTGTTGGTCGTGTGATGGCCAAAGCTCTGCAAGATGGAAGACTATTGGATCTACCACTCTCAACAGCATTTTATAAGCTTGTTCTTGGTCAAGTAAGTCAGTAGTATGATATGCTCTTTTTTGTCACTCTTAATGGTTGAAAATTGTCTAGTCATTGTGCTTTTTATATATTCATTTTGATAAATTGTGTTGTGAATTTCAATTTTCAGGATCTTGATTTACATGATATCTTGTCATTTGATGCTGAGCTTGGGAAGACTTTACAAGAATTGCAGGCACTTGTTTGCCGGAAACAGTATTTAGTATTGATAAATGGTGATAATCAAAATACAGTTTCCAACTTGTCTTTCCGTGGGATTCCAGTTGAAGATCTCTGCTTGGATTTTACACTTCCTGGTTATCCAAACTACGTTTTGAAACCAGGAGATGAAACTGTATGTTATATAACGTTAGTTATCCATCTCTGTTTTTCATGGTTAAGTAATCTTTTAACATTATATAAAATTTCAGGTTAATATTCATAACTTGGAGGAGTACATATCCTTAGTACTTGATGCAACTGTCAAGACTGGAATAATGCGACAAATGGAAGCTTTTACTGCAGGGTTCAATCAGGTAACTTTATCCATGATATTTTATTTAATTTGGTAATGCGGTTCGTACAGGCATAGTATTGAAGTCCTTTATATCAAAACGCCTTTAGGACACTTATCAAGATATTAAATATCTCTAAGTCTTCAAACTACCATGTTATGAAGGCTTGTATTGGTCTTAATTTTGTACCTGCTGAACTGGGGGGTTCAACAGTATAAAGAAAATGATAAAGTGCATGTTTTGTGCATTGTGGACCATAGTATGGTATTCTTGACTTTATTGGTTCCCATTCTATGGACGATACTTATTGTGGGTTATGGCTTTTCGAAGATTTTTCTTACACAGGTTAATCCATCATGTATTCCCTTATGATTTATTGATCTCTGTTCATATACTAATTTTAACTTTTAGCTTTCTGAATATGGTCTTCAAGTGCTCTTTTCTACATATTGTATTGTATTCACTAGATAAAATACTGCTATTTATTCATCATTTATAATTTAAGACATCGATTTTGACATATTTTATTATTGGTATTTGATTTTTTTTCCTTTGACAAATGAAACTTGGTGGGGGGATTCAAACCAAAGACAGTCTATATAAACTAACCAATCTCGGCCAGTTGAGCTACTTCTATGGGACTATTACTCAATGTTATCAACATTGATCAAAGGAAATTAGGAGTTTTCAAATTACATATTAATCTATAATCTACGATATTAGATATGTTAAAGTGGCTTGATGAAAATGAACTTTCTGATTTTTCTTTGTATCTATTCTAACATTTAATTCTAATTAAGGATTAAATAGTATTAATTGTTTCCTTTTTCTTTTCTTCATTTTTTTTGGCTGCAAATTCTTTGACTTAAATTTAGTTTATTTATTTATTTAATATAGACGATAGAATTTAGTATTTCCTTTTCATTTTCAAAACAATCAATATGGTAGATGTTTCAAACTTAGTAGAGTGAAAAAATTGACGTGATAGTAGTTACTTGCAAGGACAACTCCATTATGGTTAGATGAGTTCTGTCACTTTTGTATCAAGCTCCAGGTGCTCGCATGTCGTAGTGCTTCTGAGAATTCCAATAGTGAGGCTTGGGAGGCCAGCAGAGTGCAAATCTGTTTACCTCCCAGACCATTTCATTACTTACACAGCAATTGGCCTTCGATTGGTGCAACCTCAGCATAGTTTTATTTTCCCGTTATTTAAATTGGCATTTTGTCTTGGTCTTCTCCCAAATTCTGATTCTTATGTTTGGAATTCAGGTTTTTGACATCACGGCATTACGCATATTCATTCCTCATGAGTTGGATCATTTGCTGTGTGGCCGTAGAGAATTGTGGAAGGTGAACTGCCAAATATACACGTTGTCTACTAGTAGTTCATTGGTTTGGAGTTCTCGTGTCATTTTCTTTTGAAATTACCTTGTCAACAGTCAACACAACGATAACATTATGTCATATTATTTAGGCTGATACGCTTGTCGATCATATCAAATTTGATCATGGATACACTGCCAAGAGCCCTGCAATAGTCAATGTGAGTTCCTTTCAGAACTTCTGAAAAGTAGAGTTTGAGATTTAGATTATTGATATGTGGTCCTTATACCTTGTCTCTTTTGGCGTTCTTAGTTTCTTGAGATTATGGGAGAATTCACACCAGAGCAGCAGCGAGCATTCTGCCAATTTGTTACAGGTGCACCTAGGCTTCCACCAGGTGGCCTTGCAGTGTTGAACCCAAGATTGACTATTGTGAGAAAGGTATTGTATGAAGGAATACATTCTATTTGGATAATATATGCACAGTAATATTTCATATTATCAATGAAAAATTTGTTTCTGATTCAGGAAAAAAAAAAAGCACAGTAATATCTAAGATTGCCTTCGTTATCCAATCCAACCTTGGGAAAGTTGTAACCATACCCCTTCCTTAACATTCCCTAGACTGTGATTTTGCATTTTATTCTAAACTTCCTAGTCAAAGTAGTTTCTACGTGTCTGCGAGACAAGTTTGACCATGTAATGTGTATCAGAGATTAGTCTCTTGTTGGAGAATTAAACGGTTCTGTACCATTTGGAATGATTGATGAATAATTTCAGTGATCAGGATGCTCTTTGTAATGTTGTCCTGTTTATTAATTTTGAATTACTTCAATTGATCTGCATAAGATACCTAAGAAGTGTGCTACATTCTCTTTCCAAAGGAAAAATGAAAATTTGGTTTAATACCAAAATGATGGCTTGGTTGTGTGTGTGTTCTAGAAGGCCTTGTTGATGAATTTACGTTTTTTCTTTCTCTACATTGAATCAATGAGCCTTAGCTTGCTGGTCACATGATTTTTCTCCATCTCAAGGCTTAGTACTCTATCTTTGCAGCACTCATCATCTGCAAGTAATGCAGCAACCAGCGGGACAGGGGCTTCTGAATCCGCAGACGATGATTTGCCTAGTGTCATGACATGCGCCAATTACCTTAAGCTTCCTCCATACTCAACCAAGGTACCGCCGTTCATACTAATTTTTAAAAAAACTTGAATTGAGATGCCAATGTTTACTCTGGGATGGCATGCGTAATGAATGAATTGATGTTGTGTGAGCAGGAAATAATGTACAAGAAACTAATCTATGCGATCAATGAGGGGCAGGGATCCTTCGACTTGTCATGAGTTTTTGGGACTAACCACAACTTGTGTATAGTATTAACTTGCAATACTCGGGCCAAAGGATCCTGTTTGTCTGCAAAATAGGTTTGGTGGTGAAAGGTGCCTACTTTTGGCGGCCGCCGTCAGAGAGCAGCAGTTCTTTTTCCTTTCCTTTTCCTTTTTGGAGTTGTACATTCATATTTTAACCATTCTGTTCATCCTGTACTCCTGTTTACTTGCTCTGTAGAGCAATGGTATCACAGTCTGGTTAATGTTTGGTTGAACCATTGGGCCACATTTTCAGGAAAACGTAGAGGGAATTTTCGAAGTACTTTCTCAGTTGCCAACTTTTAGAATATGTAAATAAATAGGAAATTCTTGGATTCCCTCCACACCTGGGTGGTTATTGGCTGATACATGTATGTCATAAAATGATTGAAAGGGAAATAAACGATTCAATATTCTTGCTCTATTTCATTTTTGCTATTCTTTGGTCCAGTCTTTTTTTGGACTGCTTTATCTTTACTCCAAGCCTGGTGGGGGTTTTTTGGTGCTTCTCTAGACTTTTCCTTTTTGAAGAAACTAGGCTACATATTGACATGTGAATTGGGTTGAAAATCATATGGGCTGAGTTTTCACCCTTTTTTGTTTGTTCAAATTCTTATCTTTAGAGCCATGCCTCCTTTGTGTACTTTTGAGTTTTTTCCTTCACTCTTCTTGAGTCTCTCCGAGGCTTGTTGGATATGGCCCGTGATTCAAAAATCAAACTCATAGTACACATCTCGAGTTCTTTAACCATCATTAGAATCCATTCTTGACTGTTCAATTTCAGATGAAAGCCATGAAGTTCAGTTGCAACTTAAAAGCTGATGGTTATGAATCCCAAATAGAGTATAATTTGTGTTGTTTTCACACACCAGCATATGTGAAATCAATAAAATAATTTTACATTTGAAAGCAATAAACTATTTCTTTTTTGATATTTGTGAGTATTTGAGATAGTTTGCGTGTATTTTGATTAATTTTATAGGTAGCTGTTTAACCCTATAACATTTGGTGTAAGAAAAAACGAAATTAATTCCTAAGATATGTGACCATTATATAATTTAAACTCATTCTCTCTCAATTTATGCTAGTCCTTTGGGACTAATGAAGGGGAAAAATGGTTTGAAATTGGAAAATCATGTTCAAAATTCGTTGGTGAAATCATGGATATATTTGAAATCTTAAATAATTTTAGAACGTTTATCAAAACAAAGGTTTCACTTAAAAAATAAAAGGAAAAAAAAAATCAGAACGAGGGTTTAAATTAGTTGGGCCTGACGTCGGCCCAATGGATTATTAGGCACGTTGGGGGTTAAACTTGAGTTTTCTTTTACGGTGTCGTTTTGAGGATCTATTTTCGTCGTTCCCTCCAAAAGTAAAATCTTCCCTCCACAGCAAAACGAAAAATGATATAACGCACAATACAACAACAAAAAACTTCCGAACGATTCCACACTCCAACGGACGAGCAAGAGGCGGAAGCTATGGCCAACGAAGAAGACGATCTCGATCTTCTCCTTTCTCTACATGACAGAGTTCTTGAAACTCCTACCGGAACTCCTCCCGGAACTCCTCCTCACACCTCAGGTACGATGGCAGTTTCATCGACTATGGTAACTTGTATCCAGGAGTCTGATTCTATTGATTCATTACGAGCAATCAAAATGTTTTGTTATAGTTTTCCTGTATGCTTTTTTTTTTAACCCTAGAAGAAACACTTGTATTGAGGATGAGAATATGGACATTTCTTCGCTATTCGGTTGTAGTCGATTGTTTTATATGGAATTGCTTTGTTGCAGATTTTCTATCCGACGATGAATCACCAAAACGAGTGGGTTCTGCGGATATGTCTATCTTCAAAAACGCCGTCAAGGATTGTCTTGATTATGATCATATACCGGCTGAAAAAAGTGGAAAAACTAACCGGCAAAAGGCCTCGAATGATGTTACAGTCGAGAAGTTTTCTGGTTTGCGTATGAGGTACAGTCTGGCCATTTGCATTGCAAAACTATGTGTACTCTGATTTTTCATGTTACTTGGCTACTGTGTTCTTGACTTCTTACCGGAAAAATCTTAGAGGAGCGGACTAAAAGTTATATTATACTGGAATTGTAGTCCAGCTCGGTCATATATGAAAGTTTTAGAGCACTCGTAACTCAACTATTCGGATAACTAAGCAACTAGAAAATTTAGAAGTATATTCGAAGCTAATTTTCTCTCGTTGGCATTTTGGATAATCAAATAGAGGAAAGAACTAGTAGGGGTTTAATCTAAAGATCTGCCTAGCATGCACGGATAGAGTAATTTTCTGGACGTGTTTCTTCTTATTTTGATCTTTCTGCTTATTTTTTATTTTCGGTAGCAGGAACCAACTGATAGCGCCTGCAGAGCTTGGTGATCGTTTTTCTGACATTCGCTTTGTTCGACTGTCCACCATTAAGTAATTTCACTTCACATCGTTTATGTTTGTAGGCGTGCACTTCCTTTTCTTAGTATCTAGGTGAAAGATGCCCTTGCTCTGCTCGCTCAGCTATTCTATTTTTCCTCATGTGAAAGACCTAGACTGTGGAGTACTTTAAAAGTCTCAAGGAAATAACATAATAAAATGACAGTGCAATGATGTCTTTTAGGAAGATTGATATGAATACTGGTTAAATATTAACACAACTCCACCAACCTTGAAGGGACCGTCAGGTTAATATATAACAATGTAAATGTATTATACATTTTCAAGATTTAAATTAATTGACTAGATTTTCCCAATTTTAAACTTTATCTCTAAATTTTAAGTATCTTGCAAGATCATCAAGATGCATTTGGATTTTTCATCAACATTCAATGGTGGCACGCAGTTTGCAGATTTCGCATGCTTCAGTGTCATATTCAATAAATATCCAGTATCCAGTTTTCAAGTCATTCTAGGATAAAAGTTTTATTCATTTCTTGACAAAAATTATTCTATATATACAAACTACCTCAACCTCAAATATATATACCTTGGAATCAATTACAATAATAAGAATTATGATCTTAATAGAAAGAACTTAGAAAGTGATGATGAAAATTTGTGAACAAATATATAATGGAGACAAATTTTTAGCTTATGGTCTATCTATTTTTCACTCTAAGATGTTAATCATTTATTTGTAGAAGGAATGGAGGGTCTTAAATTCTGTAGATATTGATTGGAGACATTTGAAGTCTATTAGGAACACCATCTTGCATTTGGGAAATATATTTTGATAAGTTTTATTGTGCATTAAATTTGTCCTACAAGTTCAGTTGTTCGTTAATTTTATAGGAATTTGTTGGTTGGAGATACCCTTTCAGGCTGTTGGGTAACTGTTGGAGTGTTGACTGAGAAAGGGAGTCCAAAGACAAGCTCTACAGGGAAGGCTTACTGCATTTGGAAACTTAGTTGTTTGGATGAAAACACTGTTTCTGTTTTCTTATTTGGTGATGCTTATAAAAGAAATTGCAAGGAGCTGGCTGGAACAGTTTTTGCACTTTTTAACTCTACTGTACGCAAGGATGCAGTGGTACCAACTAAAAACTTGTACTGTACTGTAGATAATAATGTTGTAGTTCATGAATTACCTACTTCCATTTCTTACTTCAGGGCGTGGGTTTTTCTTTGAGTGTGTATCAACCAAGCCAGATGCTAAAGATGGGCACATCAGATGACTATGGAGTATGCAAGGGGAAGAAGAAGGACGGGATGGCTTGTACAACAGTAATAAACAGGTTTGTCATAAACAATTCTCTGTTACCTTATTTTATAGCTCCTCTCTCTGTCAGTGAAGTGATGTCATTGAATGAGATTCGAAGGATTTGCATATGCAAAAGTGCGAGGGTCTAGAGTTGTGGGTGGCTGACGAAATTTCTTGACAATGTTATGATCCATCAGACTGACCTCTTCTACTATTAATTGTGTAACTTATCTAAGGTGTCAAAAGCTGTATACTTGCAACAAGCTCATCAGTGCTGTTGGATAAGTCCTTTGGCTGGAATACCTCACCATTATGTTTTAAGAAAAGTTATGAGCCAGATCTTTGTAATTAAGAGAACTAATATGATAGAGTCTCTCTTTTTGTTGATACTTGTCTTTAAAGATATTAATACAATAATACTATTCTTATAGTTGATTTGATGAAAGTGGTTTTTTTCCCTTAAATTTTATTTTGACATGCCCATGATTTTGTTTGAGGTACAATTTGTCAAACCTTATATCACAAATACTGAAAATATAAACTGTTTTTATTTTTTTGCTGGATAAATAGGACAATTAAGTCATTGCTAAATATCTGGTCCAACTTGCCCAAGTCGATGTGGGATGCCATATATCTTCTGTCTCATTATTCGTAGCATAGACAGATCTTAAAACATCATTCAAAAAGTTGGTATATTTGGTTGATCACAGTAAAGTGCAAATCATGGATCCGTTATCTCTTCATCAAGTAAATATCCTTCTGATAGTTCATTTTGGAAAATTTCCTCCATCTTTTCCCACTTATGGAGCCAATCATCACGTGTAGGGATTCTGGTTTACAAAGTCAAGAACGCTTGTGCTATAGTTTTCATTGTTATTTATCAAGTTTTATTATTTTCTGCAATTCATATTTTGGAGTTATTATGATGAATTATTGTTTTACTACAGGCGACGTGGCATATACTGTAGATATCATAAATCAGTAAGTATACCTGTGCATGCTCAATATGCTAATCTTGTTTTGCATGCGGACTTTAAAAGTACATCTAACCGATACGTTACTTTCTTTCCATTTGAATTCTCACAGAAAACATCCGAAAAATATTCCACAACCACACGAATTGAGCTCAAAGGAGGGTAAGCGAGCAGTGATACATTCAAGAAATTACTTTCTTTTATGCTCGATTCTGTTTCTTATTTGCTTAAGTTCACCGGCACAGGAATCTGAGGACGGCATTCAGAGATCATCATCTCAAGGCAGAAGGAGTTTACATGGTAGATCCGCAAGCTGGTAGAGTTAATTTCAAAAAGGCAGCACCTCCCGTGAAACTGTTGTCCGTGGAAGGCCTAAAAAAGGCATTGAGGTTTGTAGAAGACATTGCAATCCTATTCCTAATTTATTGGAAGCAATTTGCAGAAGTATTTAAGATTTTGACTAAGCGAGTGGGTGTTATCTTTGATTTCACGAAACGGTTATATAAACCATCAATTCTTCAGGTGAAGCTAGCATTAACCTGTTTTATGGTTAAATGCAAAATACATTCAACACTTCATTGACTTGTTAGACCTCTCATTAATCAGGTTTACGTGAGAAAGAGGGGCAGTAAATGGTGGTTCAAACCATTTTTAGTCTCTGAGTTCATGTCTTAGTATTGGTTTTTTTACGTATAGTAGGGTAGCTGTTAGTGAGTCTTTGTAAATAGGAGATTAGTTGGTGGAGAAGGCAGACAATTTTTCTGTTCTGGAGCTAGTATGAGTAGAATGTGGAGAGTTGGACTTGGAAGTCCTCAAGTTGGCTTCTCCTAGTTGTTGGTTCTTTTTGTTTTCTTGATTTGAATTGCAAAGCCAATGATACTTATCACCACCCTATAGATCTTACACTTTTTCTTTTTAGTTTTAAGTTATTAAGTCCATTTTTTTTTCGAAGACTAAACAAATTCCAATTTGATTACCTACTCCATATATAGATAATGGCCATAACATCTTTTTTATCCGTCACTCAAATTTACTCTTGACCAACTTTCGATTTTTCATTCAAGATATAAACTTGATTGGTGGGTGTTGTGAAAATAGGGGAGATGAATTATGTGCTTCAAGTTTATTTTCTTGTTAATTGTGAATTTTAACTGGGGTCAATTTGAACGTCTAGAGGTGTGCTCGGGAAAAGTGCAAAGTAGAATTTTTTTTTACCCCGGATAGTAGGAGCAATGTATATATGCCAACTTTAAGTAGTTAGGCATTTATGTATTTTTTCTCTTCCAATGGGTTGTAGGTTTGAACTTCCATTACTTTCTTTTCCATTATTTGTAACGTAGTATTCTCAAAGAATATATTTTATACGACCTCGTGGCATTACTTAGTACTGAGTGACAAGCCATTTTACTCCATTTTAATGTAATTTTCCAAATTCAAAGCATTTATCTTCTGCAAATGGGCAAACTAAAACGGATTCTTGTATGCTTAAGGAGTATTTGTTGTGTTCTCGTTTACGGCTGATTTACCTTGTCACTGTGAACAGCAATGCAGATAAAGTGACCACCAATGCACACTCACAAGGGAAAAGATTCCTTGCTGAGATCACAGGTTAGAGAGCATAATCCATACGCGCATGCTTAGAAATTCATAGAATTTCTCTTGAGACCTTTTCCAATTGCAGGGAAATTGTGCAATAATACTGCAAATAAAGAATCAACCAAACAAAATCAGCAGAGGATCAGTTCAGAGAAGACGTCAATTTTGTAAGATTCTATCCAGCACTTTGTTGTTTTCTGTTGCTGTCTTTCAACGTAATTACAGATCTGTAAGATATCTTTCAGGAAGTCATCTACCAAGAAACTAGATTCAGAAGTTGTAAACCAACAACCAGATCCAAAAAGAAAGAAAGTCGAGCCTGCTCAGGCAGGCATAACCACAAAAAGTATTGAAAAGATGATCGAGTTGGATTATGTTAGTTCAGATGAAGAAACTGAGCTTTTCTTCACCTTATAAATTGAAGTTTGAGCTTCGATTCTTACAAGCAGAGCTAATTGCTATCAACCCTTGATGCTTATACTTACAACTCCAATGCAAGACTGGAACTTGGTTTATTTAAAAGGAGAATTCATTCAAGGCTCTATAAGAATGAAGACTAACTAATAATCAAGGCTCACTGTTGTTTGAGAGAAAAACAGAAGCAAGACAAGCCAGAACAGGATCTGGTATTTATCCCTGAATTAATGGAGCAACCAACGACAGAAGTACTGCATTTTTCTTTTTTTGAAATGGCAGGAACTCTGGCTTCTTTAAGGCCATTTTAGCTTCACTCTTTTTTTATTTGGATAAATAAGCTTCTAGTTTTTCACAGTTTCCTGCCAGACGGCTGAACACAAAAGCTAATTGACATGAGAGGCCAATGGGACGTGGGGGAGAAATGGTCATCCAAGCACATGGGTAGGTGATGTGCTACCCATCTCTCTTTAATATTTTATCCCTCATTTTTTAGCATGTTAAATAGCAGTGGTCCGTTTGGGAAGTTCAACATAACAGCTGAAACTGTTTGTATAGTTGTTTCTAAAACTAATAGAATTTAGTTTGTTTAAATTATATCATTAATATGCAGTCTATATGGTGGTTCAATTGTTCTTAAAACTAAAACTTACGCGAGAATAAAGTAATGAAAAAAACTTCCCTCCCGAAGATTCAAGTCTTTAATTCTTATGTGGTCCGGTAGCATATAGACAAGTGGATCACGTAAGAATTATACAAAATTAAAAAATTCACTTGTTTATATGCTATTAGACAACTAATGAATTCAGGAGGAAGTTCCTTTAGAAGTAAATATGGTGATTTGAGTTCAAGATCTATTAGTGTCAGTTGGTACATTATTTGATTTGGACAAAGTTAGGCTGTAATTGTTATTGTGCCAACAAATTGACTACACTTGGGAGGATCTTTTTAAGCCATAAGATAACAAGCTTAAGAATTGTATGAGAGAAAAAGTAGCAATGATTTAATAGAGCTATGATACTAACTTACAACCACCATTAACCACTACCATTTTCTTTAATGATTTGGTGGTCTAAAGGCACCCTCTTTGAAAGCGATGGATCATGACTTTTGCTTACCAAAATTTAGTTGCGTTTGGTTTGTGAGTTAGGCTCTTATATATTATTATAGTATGTAGGTTTGATTATGTTGAATATGAATTTGTTAATCATGCTGTTCTATAAATTCAAGTCTAAGTTACCTAGGTTGTAGCTACTTGTTTCTTTAGACAATCTAAAATCTAAAATCTAGACTTTGTATTCTCATGCTTTATAATCTCGATCTTATTATAATCCAAAGAGGAGGATATGTTTCATGTTTGATTGTCCACTTCATGCTAAATTTGCTAATATTTATTCAATAGACATGTCATGTTATGAAATCAGACAATGTAGAATTACAATTCAACATTGAGAAACATAATTGAATTTTTTTTTTTTAAATTTAATTACTAGGTCATTAAAAAAATAGAAGTAGATGAGGCAGGTTGGGTCTAAACCAAACTTCCCAACACCTTGCATCTACCCTTCTCATCTCACTCTACAACTACTATTCTTCCCCTAGATTAGCTGAAACATCAAGAATCAAGATTCAATTTCAGCATGCAATAAATAAGCTTTTTTGTGATTAAAAATTCACTTTCTCATACTTTACTTTAAAGACTCCTTAGATTTTTCATTTATTTGTTTGGCAAATAGTGGATTGCCCACTGTCTTCTTCTTAATCTTTCCATTGATCCTATTATTGCGAGTCTAAATTTAATCAAGTGGACCATGCTCTACAATGTTTGTATCTTGCCAATTTAGTAGGTGGGTGTATGTTAAGAATTGCATATTTGGTAATACAAATCATTTGTAACTAAAATTGCACGCTCAATTTGGTAATAATTTCATTTTTGTTTTTAAAAGTTGTGCTTCCTTTCGCCTAGTTTCCTATATATTTCATATTTGAATTTATATCTCAATTTCATTACTAAAAAAACAATAACGACAAGTTTATTATTATTATTATTATTATTATTTTGGCTTCAATTTTAAAAACACTTTTAAATAATCAAGCAAATAAATACCTAATAGAAGTAGTGTTTATATATTTAATTTTTGAAGACCAAAAATCAAATGGGGCTAGAATGATTCTCACATGATAACTAAAATGGTGGTTTAAGCTTTGTTTTGTTTTAGTTATTTAAATGTGAGATGAAGATTGAACCATATGCCAGAGGAGTAAGATTTCTTTCTTGAGTTATGTTTGTGTTGGTTAAACTTTGTTTTAATTCTTACCTATATTCTTAAACTTTGTATTAAATTGTTATAATTTCTTTCTTTTTTGTAAATTATTTAATAGAAACACTACTAAAGCACTTTTTTTTAATTATTTGATGAATACATATGCGTAGGCAAGTTTTGAAACAACCTTAAGTTAGATGTCAAACTTGAAAATCAAAGTAGACTTTTGTCAAATAATTAATAAAAAGAAGTAACAACAATTACTACACACAATTGTTAATATATTTCAATCTCTTAGAGATTATAGATTCAAAATTAACTATCGTATTTGTGATGTAATATTCTAAAATATTTTAATAATAATGATCAAAGTGGAAATGAAAATTATTCTTTTCTTTATTTGTTTTTGTTTTTGTTTTGTTTTTTTAATTCTATGAGAAGGAATCAAACGTTAAATAATTTTCTCTCATCTTTTTAAAATTCAATAATTTGGGATGGGTATGATCAAACCATTAATGTTTGGAAGGGTTGTGTCAAAAAAAAAAATTGTTTGGAATGGTAATATCTATGAATCAACTCTTCATTTTCATTATTAGGGTCTCCAGGTCAAGCATAATCAAATCAACTAATTTTGGACAGATGAGATTTTTCTTTTTTCACAAAAGCAAGGATTATCCTTATTTTCAAATTTATGAACTCAATCTTTCTAATTTTTTATTTAAAATATTTCTTCTTTATCTGTGCTCTTTTTTTAGTATAACAAAATAGGTGAGACATTTCCAATTAGTAAGTTCAGATTTCATCTGTACTCTTGCCATGCAACCCAAATTGTATTTAAATTGACGTGTGAACAGTTGGTTAACAAAATCAAATGCAACGATACACATTTTCTTTACCAATAATTTTGATACACAGACAAAAATTTTGGTTGTCGCCCGTGTCTTCCTTCAAAAAGAAGAAAATAACAACCAAAGAGAATACCTTTCTTTAAAGATGAGATTGAGAGTGGAGAAAAATTAGTCCAACCAAAAGAAGAAAAAGTTAACCCAAAAAAGAGAGGACAGAGAGCGACCAGTTTCACTTCAAAATAAGGTTGATTTTGATTTGATCTGATTTCTTTGTAAAATTTTCCCAATTCCCACAAACCCATGGCGGTAGAATTGGAAGAGAGGCCGTGATTTTTACTCTGGCCATAGCTGGCAAGAGCTGGCTCCCCCCCTCTTTATAGGCCCAGTTGCCCTTGTCTTTGCGTCTCCTCCTCTCTCTTCCACGGGTACAATTTCTTTGTTTCCCCGATTAAATGTGCCTAGATTTGTGGGTCAACTCCACTGTTATCTCTATTTCTCTGGGTGTTGCTGATTCTGCATTGGAAGGCTTCTGATTCTGAACGGAGCTCTCAAGGAGGAAATGAGTGTTTCGAGGTTCATTAAGTGTGTCACGGTTGGGGATGGCGCCGTTGGGAAAACTTGTATGCTCATCTCCTACACCAGCAATACTTTCCCCACGGTGAGCAGAGCATCGCCCTTTTGTTAATTTGTTGTTTTTCTTGTTTGGTTGCTGAGAAAATTTGGGCGATTGAGTTGGTTCTGGGAGAGTTTTGTTGACTGATGAACTTCAGTATCTCTGCACTTTTTGTTTAGCTCAAAATGGTTGCTCCTTTCTGGGTGTTTGTGGGGGTTTTTTTTTTTGAAGTGAACCTCATTTGAAGAACAAATCTGTTGTGTTTTGTTGTCGTTTCTCATGTCTTTGTTTGGTTGCTTACTGGAGCAAAGAGATTTTTCATCCAAATGTTTGGTGGAATATTAATCTTTTGGTGTTGCTGGTTCTGTTGAGAAATTTCAGCCTCTTTTCAGTCTTTTAGTTGTTGCAAGAAGATTCCCACGAGGAGATTACTAAAATTCTGGTCTTTTGACCAAGTCTTCTTGCTTCCAACAACAATAAAAAAAAAGGGGAGTGAATTGTGGTTTCCTTTTCGTTTATGTATCAATTTCTTGCACTTTATGACTTATTGGTTTCTGTTTTAAGTTCACTTTTCTCTGTGTATTTAATGTGCCTCTTTTGGTCTTGTTTATAGATGGGCCTTCCAAACATTTGGTGTTCCAAGTGTTAATACAAATCTGCACTTTTAACTGAAAACATATCCTCCATGAAACCGTATTTTCGCCTCGTATCGGATCTTCGTCTGTCCGTCAGTGTGTGTAGTGTGTGTGGATTGGGGACAACTTTTGCAATGTTGAAGTCTAGACTGTTTATCTGCATCACTTGCCTTCCATTTCAAAATTTGTTGAATAAGGCGTCTTCATTTGATGATTGTAACTATTAATACACATAAGTGCTTGCAAGTTTTAAATTCAGAAGTTCTGTGAAATTGTTAATCATCTGAATGACTGGTGAATACTCTGAAACAGGATTACGTGCCGACTGTTTTCGACAATTTTAGTGCAAATGTAGTCGTGGATGGCAGCACAGTCAACCTAGGCTTGTGGGATACTGCTGGTATGATAAAATAACGAGTCGTTACATAACTTTCTTTCTTGCCGAGAATCTGATGTATGAATCATGAACCAGGCCAGGAAGATTACAATAGATTGAGACCGTTGAGCTATCGTGGAGCCGATGTATTTCTGTTAGCATTCTCTCTCATAAGCAGGGCTAGCTATGAAAATATCGCCAAAAAAGTAAGCCTCTGGCTTTATCTTCCTCGGTTGAACTTATTTTCGTTCTATTTGTTTAAATGTCTCTAGTTTCCCTTTTAGCTTACATACTTCTTTTTCATGACAGTGGATTCCTGAACTGAGGCATTATGCTCCTGGTGTACCGGTTATTCTCGTCGGGACTAAGCTTGGTTATATTCTTTTCTGACTTTCTAGTTTGCAACTTTAAATGTTTCATTCCAAACAACTTTCTTCTCCCATTTTGTTTTCTGATGACTGTTCCTAAATTCAAGTATTTCACCATGATAGAACAACATGAAACAGAAGTACTGTTATTAAGATCCGATGTTAATCGATACGGTTGCTTTTAACTCAGCCACGAACTACTTGTTATGTAACAAAAATACGGTTATTATTCCGTATTGGGCTTCTTAGTTATCATGGTCAACTTGCTTGTCCCATAAAATACAGTGCCCCTGTTAGAAGTCAGTTGAATAATCCAGGCGCCATCTTTAACTCTTTCAGAGAAGTAGTGTTTTTATAAGTACTATATTATCGCGTGCTCTCGATTTGGGACTATCGATAACCATGAGTTTCAATTTGCTTCCTGTAGACCTTCGAGAAGATAAACAGTACCTCATTGAACACCCAGGGGTGGTGCCCATTACAACGGCCCAGGTATCCTGCAACATACCCTGTATTTTTGAGTTCTCTTAAGTCCTAACTTCTATATTTGTCTGGTGACCCCTGTTGTACTTCTTTTCGTCTTTTACAGTCTGGTTTGGCTTCTTGCAGGGGGAGGAACTGAGAAAACTCATCGGTGCTCCAATGTACATCGAATGCAGTTCGAAAACGCAGCAAGTATGAAGAATCCACTTTCTTCTTTCTATGCTTTTTTCGGTCCACCCCTCCCTCGTTAACAAGTCTTCTTCACTGTGCTCTGAATGCAGAATGTGAAAGCGGTTTTCGACGCAGCAATCAAAGTGGTCCTCCAGCCTCCGAAGCGGAAGAAGCAAAAGAAGAGAAAGACACAAAAGTCTTGCTCTATATTATGATGCAAAATTAGCTGTATCACGACTGGTTAGAATTCAAAGACCTACTACTAAGCTACTCATCATTTAGCCCCTAACTATCACTATGTGAGTTATATTTCCACATTGTCAAAAAAAAAAAAAAAAACGTTATCCTTACGCTACCCCGCATTCAAGCAGCAGATTTCATCCTCTGTTCTGCCTGCTTTCTAGGCTGTGCTTTGATTTGTAAAAAGTGGATTAAAGTCATCAGTATGTAATATTCGCGACGATAGTATATATTCGAGATTAGATATCTTTTATGTAATAGATTCTTGTGTTAGTATCGGTGTAGCTCTGCTCTATATGTCGTTGTGGTTCGATATACTATAATGTTGGATGGTTTCACTACCAGTTGGTTAGAATCATCTTTCCAGAAAGTTGGGTGAGGGTGACTGTAGAAGAAAGCTTTTCCATCGATTGACTTTTAGAAACCTTTATTTTGGTTTGGCAGTCTCTGGATTTGGTATAATAGTGTTTTTGATTGTGATATTGAGACTTCATATTCCTATCAATATTATATTTTCTGTTTTTAACTTAATTTTGTATGATAATTTTTTTCTTTAGTTTTGTTCAAAAAGTTCTTACTTGGAAAATGCAAAGATCAACTATATCTTAAGCCAAATGTTCTATACACAACTTTTATGTGCAATATATATAATAAGCTTATTTCATATATATATATTAAAGAAAAAAAACAACAAACTTCCATCCTTCCAAAAACACTTTCTAAATGTTAACCCAACTTTAGAAACTGGAAACGAAAATCTAACGATATTTCTATAATTGAAATTAAAACATCAACATTTTTGTTGGTATCTTACTCGACTAAATTATTATTTCAATAAAATTTTTATATCTTCGCATTGTTATGATATTGTGAATCTATTTACACTTTTGAAAGGTCTGGTACTTAATATCGTCGTAGTAGGACCTATAAATTAATAATTAAGATTGGGTAGCATTCATTAATATATCTGCCTCCATTTTTTCTTTGTCTAGAAAGGAGGAGGGTTTAAAATATGTAAGGTCATATAATTGACCTAAGACAAAATTGCTTCCCCACATAGATTCTCCAAAGATACTTTGGGGGGAATATAAATGATTTTCATATTGAAGATATTTCAATTCTTTTTTATATAAAGAACCTGAATTCAAAATTAATTTTACATATTTTGCTCTTAAAAGTGTAGAAAAAATGAGAGTAGGTTGTATTTTGAGCTATCGAGAATAGGTGACTACCATGAGATTTGAATCAGTGTCTTCAAAGGTCGTCATATTTCTCCAACTTTTTTTTTTTGTGCCACTAAGCCACCTCAGTGATTCATTAATATATCTAATTATATCCATCAGAGTCGTATTCCTACTTCTAGAGTCTAGTTCCTTCCTTTTCTTCATTTGATTCAATGAAAGAAGAACAAAAGTGTCAAATGAATGGCTTATTAAATAAAATTTAAGCTTTTTCATATGAGTTCCTGAAAAAAAAAAATAGCAAAAATATACTTATTTACTATATATACCTTTTACGTTTTATTGACGAGACTTAATTGTAAACCTAAGTATAACTCAAATGGTTAGACGTTCCTGAGTAAAATTCTCATTTGTGGTCTATATTTGATCAAATATCTTCTCCTTTATCAATTTGTTAATTTCAATAATCCATATAGTAACTAAATAATGTCTAAAATTTATTTATAATTAGAGTCACGTCAATTTATGTAAACCTTAAGTCATGAGTATAGCTTCGATAAATGACATGTACTATTTTTTTAAAATCAAAAGGTTCAAATCTTCATACATCATATTTGTTGTACTAAAAAACACTACTTAAGCATTACATTTTTTCATTGCATTTAACACTTGATGCACGTTTCAAGACAGGCGCCACCTATCCTTGAACACTTGAAGTGAACCTGCCATAGAAACTTGTACCGTTGTGGAGCTTAGCTAAATGCTCTCTAATGACTAAATTAGAACTTGGGTAGAACGACCGAGTATGATGAACTTGATTGTTTTGTAAGAGTAATGTGTTCTCTGTCGGCACTGAGCTGAATGCTCGACATTCCTCTCGTGCTCTCATCATCCCCATGAGACGATCCCAGCGTACTTGGATTCACGTGTCCAAGCAGGGGGCCATGTGGAGTCCTGGATTTCCCATTTAACAAATTCTTTTTTACTTTCGTAATATACCATTTATTTTCTTCAAGTACAACAAATTTGGGGGTGGGGTTTGAGCTTCTAGCTCGAAGACGTTGAACTATGTTCATATTAATTCAAAATTTACCGATTTAAACTTTTAAGTTTAGCGCGATAGTTTAACATAACATCAAAAATTTCCCTAATGTCATTTTTTTTACCAATCAATATATATTGATAATTACGTATTAAATTACAAACTCTACGAGTGAGAAAAATATATTTGAACTTAATAAAAACGACATTACAAAAGAGAGAGAGTGGTTTAAGCTTTGGGCTTTGAACACTACATGGGCATATAGTTTAGACTTTTAAGTTATTAATTAATGAACTAATTAAGAAAGAGGAAGTGAAGTAGTTGATCTAACCATCTACATAATCAACTAACTTAATGGACAAATATAAAACAATTAAACTATAAACCTATGTGCATGCACTTGTATCAATATTCTAAATTTTAAATTGGTTTCTCCAATAGATATTAAATATAAATTATTGCCCAAATTTTATTTTAATTAATATATGTTTATACTATGTATATAAACACAAAAACTAATTATTTGTACCATTTCATAAATATTTTTATTTTCGATTAACTAATTTTGTAATCTTATCATCATTGGAGATATAAGTCAATTAGATCCGAACAATCCTTGCTCTTGTCGCGTGCACGAAAACATTTATTAGACTGTTAAAAATTAAAATGAGTATTTATTTAATTTGTGTTGATTTTTAGACAACTCGCCAAAAAAAGACAACATGAAAAATGATTCTCAAAAGAAAAACAAAAAAACGTGAACCGTCAGGTACGCCGACCCGCAATAGCCGGTGAAAATTCGGAGTCCACTTTTGGCGGACCACGCAAAACTACCGGATACCATAGGTTTCCCGCGAAAACTTCCGGTTTCCTTTTAACTGTCATAAAAACACTCACAATACCTATCTTCTCTCTCAATTTCTTGAAATTCTCTGCAATTTTTCTCTCTTGCCGACACTTTCTTCCCCCAAACTCCATCTTCTTTCCTTTTCACTTCATCCACTATTTTTTTTCCTAAAGAAAAACATAAACCCATTTCCTTCATGGATGCTTGACGTCACCCGAGCAGAAATTGTTGTCTTTTACGACAATTTTTGTGCCCTTTTTTCCCTTCTTTTTCAAATTTCTTTATCGTTTATGAGTCTCGCGATTAGTTGGTCGCAGTAGGTTAGGGGGTGCGATCTATTTAATCGGCAAAATCGGTATTTAAATCATGCTGAGCTCGGACGACGAATCGCTGCAAGTTTTAGGTACAACCCATTTGTCGGCTTCTATTTATCATCTGCTTAATTTGAGGATTCTAATCGAAATTATTGTTTACATTTTCCAATTTGGGTTTCATTTCCAGTTTCGGGTGCGCCAATGGGTCACTGCTTGTTTTGAAATACTCGTAGCTTCGAGTTCTTTCTGCCCTTTTCTTTTCCATGGGTGCATTTAGATTTCTGATTCTTCTTTCGTTGGCCGATTATAGTGGGCTTTGGTTGCAGAGAGTGAAATGGTGGGTTTAAAAAGTGGGAAATCTCCCAACCAGAGGTCATCTGCTGGGACCCCGCAGATCGAAGGAGATTCAGAATTTGTGGGGTTTTGGAGATCATAGGAGATTAATCTGGAGGAAGCGAAATGACTGTTGGTCAGGAGGATTCTGAGGATATTGAGAAGAAGAAGAAGAAAAAGAAGAAGAAGAAGAATGTGTTAGTGGGGATTCGGATTAATGGTGATGGTAGAGACCTGCTCAATTGGGCGATTGTTAAAGTTGCTGACCCTGGGGATTGTGTCATTGTAATCCATGTTTGTCAAAATTCTGGTGGGGGGTTTTTTTTTTCAAACCCACCCCAATTTCTGGTTTTAATTCTTTTACATCTTTACTTTTTTGCATAGTTTTGAAATATGTCTTTTCCCTCTTGCAAAACAGACCGTGCACTAAAAACTAAGCCCTTATTTGATGAATTCTTAGAAGGATACAAAAGCCTTTGTAATGTAAACAAGGTTCGGTTTGGAATTTGTCGTCCTCTATTGATATTTATGGATGGAATGAAGTTTTGGGTACTGATTATTGTCTTCAAATTCGGGTATTAGGTAGCTTTCATTTCTCATATATCGACCGGAAGTTCGGTTAAGACGACTTTGGTCAGAGAGGCAGAATGCTATGATGCTCGGGCTGTAATTTTGGGAACGAGCAAGTTGTCTACTAATCTTGGGTAGGGAAGTCATAGAAAACTCGAGTCGTTTTTTCGTTTTGGTTGGTCGTAGGGGTTTTTTTTTTGTTTGTTTGTTTTCTGATTTGGTCTTAACAGAAACCATTTGCAGGGGTTGGTCAACAACAACTAGATACTTTGTTAAGCGACTGCCTCCAACCACTGATGTTTTGGCTCTCTACAAAGGCAAAGTTGTCTTCAGAAGGTCCATCAGTGATCAACTTCCAGGTTTGGTGTTCTTGGCCTAAAATACAATTCATTGGTAGATTGAATTTTTTTCTTCTTTTTTAAAGCAAAATTGGTCATAGTTTTGACTGTAATATGACAGGCTTGAGTCAAGACCCAAAACCAAGTTTTAGTCCAGCTACTCAATCTGACTTTGATGGTTCTGAGACCAAGAAATCTTTTTCTTATGGGGTTGGTAGTGGAGACATGAAGGATGTTCATGGAGTTGTCCTTAAAAGTAAAAGAAATTGTTCCAAACAGGACACTCCAATGAAGACAGACAATTCCGAGGGGGGTCTTGGTTGGCCGTTGCTCCGTACATCTCCGAAGATTTCGCAAACCCTGTCTGTACATGACATGTCTGTGGTGCAATGGGTGATGAACTTACCAGATCGTTCGCCATCTCACAGTTTAAGAATAAAGGGAAATGATCCATCAAGAAGAGAGATCTCTGATTTTCTGGATGAGAGGAATAAAGGCAGTTTATCTGCCTTTTCTGAGCGACCACAAAAATTGAAGGATCTCCTGAAAGCTAGCTCATCTTGTTATAAGTGGTTTAGTCCTGATGTGCTGAAAACTTCAACTTCTCATTTCTCTTCAGGTTTTCGAGTCAATACTTGCTTTGAATTGATTGTTACGTTCACTTTCTCGCCATTCAGATTAAGTATGTTCTTGGTCTGTCCATGACCCATAAATTTATTCTTTCTTAATAGAAAACTTGATTGGGAAAGGTGGTTGCAATCGTGTATACAAAGGAATCCTCCCAGATGGAAAGCCAATCGCGGTTAAGGTAATGAACTCATCCGAAAAGGCATGGAACGAATTTTCTCGGGAAGTTGACATTATATCCTCATTGCATCACAAAAATATCACTCCCTTTCTTGGTGTTTGCATCAAAGACGATACATTGATCTCTGTTTATGATTTCTTTTCCCAAGGAAGCTTAGAGGAAAATCTATACGGTAAGGCTTAAATATTAGAATTCTTTCTTCTACAATGTGAAAAACTATCAGATCAGGACCACGCTGATAAGAACATGATATGCAATTTAGGTAGAAACAAAGAAAAAGGCATACTTTCCTGGGTGGTAAGATTCAAGTTGGCTGTTGGAATTGCTGAGGCACTAAACTACCTGCACGAGGAATCTCCCCGGCCTGTTGTACACAGAGATGTCAAGACTTCAAACATTCTTCTCACTGATGAACTTGAACCACAGGTAGTTCGTTATAACATCCTCATCGGTTGTGATTTTGAATATTTCTCGTTTATTCCTAACTGAGGTTCTATATAACAGTTGTCTGATTTTGGCCTTGCAATCTGGGGACCAACCGAATCATCCTTTCAGATCGAAGCCGATGTTGTGGGAACGTTTGGATATCTTGCTCCAGAGTATTTCATGTACGGAAAAATGAGTGATAAGGTTGATGTCTACGCCTTTGGCATAGTTCTACTTGAATTATTATCGGGACGAAGAGCAATCGACACTGAGACTTCGAAAGAGCAACAGAGCTTGGTTATGTGGGTATGACTTCCATCAAGTGTACTACTTATACTTCAAATGATTTAAGATGCTCTATGATTGTACAAGGATGAAGACCACTTATCATTTCATGTCAGGCAAAGCCAATCATAGAACGCGGTGACGTAAAGGGCATAGTCGATCCAAACTTGGAGGGAAAATTCGACAATGTTCAGTTGAAGAGAATGGTTCTTGCAGCAACCCTGTGCATCACGAGGGCATCTCGACTCCGTCCTAGAATTACTCAGGTCTTGTATTCAAGCGATACTCACCAACATATCACTGACATCACACATTACTGACATCGCACATTACTTGTATTAATCAAAGATGTTCACAAAAATGCCTTTCGCCCCAGATAATGAAGGTTCTAAGAGGGGAAATTGATACTGAAAGCATCGTTGTGGAGGATTCACAAAGTGTGGAGAATGGAGATGACGAAGTTTACCCGAGTTCGAGTTCTGAACTACACTTGAGCCTTGCATTGCTAGGTGTTGATGATGGTGGTGGGGATTCATTTAGCAGTGTGGAACAGAAAAAAAGAGTTTGTTTAGAAGATTATTTGAAAGAAAGATGGAGCAGGTCCTCAAGCTTCAACTATCTTCCTTAGAGATATGTCAGTTTCCCTTCAGCTTAGACTGTAAATTAGCCAAACATTAAACAATGTCATCAAAATTTAAACTGTACAATGACTATAAACTTATGCACCCTTTGGTGAGGTGATTTCTGTAAATATATATATATTATACATCTTTTTTTTGGGTCCACCAAGTTTTTTTTTTTTTTCAGGAAAATACTTTCTCTTTAACCGTAGGGAGCTCTCCTGACTATCATTAAATGTTTGACAACTAAGGGAGAGAAATGCAAAAACAATGACTTTTTGTAAAACTTAATAAGTTGTCAATTTTTTTATTGATAGTGAGAACAAAATTTGGTCCTAGTCGGAGCCATATTTACCTTTAAATGAATCATATTTACCATTTATATTGCCATCATAGATAAATTCTCCAATGGCAATTAAATATTTTACTAAATTTATGTGAGTAGTTTGCTACTCTGATTTTCTAGAGAATTTATATTGAAGTCTACATTGACTTTTTTTTTTTATTCAAATATGTTTTCATCTGTTTAAGAAACAAAATAAAAATTTAAAGTCAACCATTGTTAAAGTTCCATAGTTTTTCAGACTCTTTTAAAATAATATTTAGGGTGAAATCATATCAATACTTTATTTTCTTTGACAAGCTACAAAATGGGGCAGAGGAAGTTAATTCTGAACAAAAATCTTAAATCAACTAAATTTTGCTGCTCCAACCAAGTTTTATTAAGCTCTTATCATGAACATCTTTTTTAAAACGATTTTATTGAAACATTAAATAAATTAATAAGGCAACAACCATCAAGTTGTTATACTATTTGGTTCAAAAATTGAGAAATCTTATATTAAAAAAAAAATAGATGTCAACAAAATTTTAAAACTAAACTGTTCACGAGATGTGACGGAGCTCATATAACTGAAAATGACATGGTTAGTACAATCATTTCAATTTTGATATCTCGGAGGTAACATTTCGAATTCTTGTTTCTCGTGTTTCACTTTTATTTAAAAACCTAAATTTTTGGTAACTATTTGTGTTTTTGTTTCTCATATTTTCAGAAACATTCACAAAAATTGTATAGAAATTTTGTAAACAATAAAGAAACAAAATTTTTTTTTGTTTCTTGTTCCCATTTTCAATTTATTTCAAAATATAATTAAAAACATTGTTTTGTCATTCTTAAATCTATGTATGTCGCCAAAACAAACATATCTCAGATATATATCTATATATATATATATGCGCCATGAAATTTCTTTTTTTTTTTTTTATTTTGTAAAAAATGAGAAAGTTGGTTTCGACTCTGAACTTTTATATTATAACGGCAACTGTAGGAAATGTTTTGTTGGAATGGTTGCACAAACCGTGCCATTTTCGGTGTGTGCAATCCCTTCAACTCAATTCAGAAGAATTTAGTTTTTTATTTTATATAAAAAAAAATCATATGACTCAGTCAATGCTTTTTTTTTTTTAACAAAAAAATTATTAAGAAAATGTAATTGTTATAGATCTTAATTTAAGAAGACCAAGAAGAAAAAAAGTTGAATACTATTATGGTTTTTTCTTTCCTAAAATTTTAAATGTTATGTTTTAATTCTTTTACCTTCTTCTTTTTTTATAAATTCCTGATTGTTCGGGCTAGTTTGTGCACAACTTTTTTGGTGGAACGACCATTTGACAATGCTATATTCATTCCAAATCTTTTATTATTTACATTCATCTTTATTGGTCACTAAGCCACATCAATAATTTTTTATTAAACTCCCTTCCTTGTTTTAGTATTTGGATTTTAAAATTTTTAATCTTAGATCAATAATTTTTTTATTGGTAACATAATGAAATTCGAATTTTGAAATTTGAAAATATAATATATTATAGCTAATTATAAATGAATCTCCATTGAATATTGTATAAAAACTATAAATACAATTTTCTTCTACGAATTCAACCCAAATAAAATGGAAGGTTTGAACTAAGTATAATAAATATACCAAAAATACCGTGTAATTGACACTTGTCTTTCACCAAAGATCACGAGTTCAAATTCTCCACCTCACTTGTTGTACTAAAAAATTAAAAAAATAATAATAAATAAAAAATTAAAGAACTAAAATGAGGTGTAAACAAAGAAAAAACCAAGATTTCAATAATTAATGTGAATTATAATAATAGTAGAGACAAAAATCACTTTCCAGTTTCGACATCATTTATTTATTTATTTGCAAAAGTTTATTGCAAGGAAGGAAAAAAAAAAATCTCACACACAAAGATACTATATTTATTGAAGAAAGATCATAAATTTACATTATTTTTGAAGAAACAGGAGAGATTATTTTTGCAGAACCAAAAAAGGGTTCAGTTTTATAATTGGAATTTGGATCCACGGTGATAAAAGAGCGTAAGAACCACCGACGTGAGCTAGATTCCCCCACCGAAGCTTTCCCATTTTACAACTATGTCCTCCCCGTACCTATAAATTGCTTTGTTTGACTCTTCCATGGCTAATTCCTTGACTTTTTGAGCTGGGAAAAGTTGTTGCTCAGTCCTCTGCCATATTCCTTCTTTCTTTTTCTATGATCCAAGTTTGAAATACCAGCATCTCTCTAAAGGTAAAGGTTCCCCAATCTATTCTCTGTCGCTTTTATTGCTGTTGTCGAATCGCCTCTATGGTTCTCTGCCGTTCAGTTGTCATTTCCTTGTTGGGTTCTGGTTCTGGTTCTTTCTTTTGCCTGATTATTAGGTTTTAATTGTGGGTTCTTCGTGGCGTTTGATAATGATGAATTGAAGTTCGCCACTGGGTGTTTGATTATTATGAGGGTTTCGTTATCACTTCTCTGCCTTGCTTTAGAGCTCGAGTTTTAGCGAAATTAGTGTTTCTGAAGGGTGGGAAATTTTAGGTGGTCCATTTTTTCCAGGTTTGGTTACCTAGAAATCCCCATCCTTGCAGTAGAGAACTTCATTTATGATGCTTGTTTGATTGTTTTGTTGGATTGTGCTGAAACCCTGTTTATCTATTTGTTTAGGGCCTAGGTTCTGTTCTGGACCATAATTTCCCTTTGAGTTGCTGTCTTGAAGTCAATTCTCATTATCGTTGCCATCGAATTTTCAAGTGCTCTTTTCCTAGCTACAGAGATTGATATCTTTGATGGAAGACGGTGAGCTTGACTCCTCAAACCCGGAGGTGTTTTCGAGTTCAAATGCCGTTGAGCTTCCGAGCAGTTGCTCGATGGATAGCTTCTTTGATGAAATTTTGAAGGACACTCATGCTTGCACACACGCTCATACTTGCAACCCTCCTGGTCCTGATTATTCACATACGCATACCTGTTTTCATGTCCATACTAAAATTGTCTCTTCCCCCGCTGAAGACAAGGTGTCCACTGATGACACAGCGGAGTCTGTGGATAAGAAGAATAAGAAACGCCCACTAGGTAACCGCGAAGCAGTTCGTAAGTATCGTGAGAAGAAAAAGGCGAGAGCTGCATCGTTGGAAGATGAAGTTGTGAGATTGAGGGCCTTGAATCAGCAATTGTTGAAGAGATTACAAGGTCAGGCTGCATTGGAGGCCGAGATTTCAAGGCTCAAGTGTTTGCTTGTGGACATCCGAGGAAGAATTGAAGGGGAGATTGGAACATTTCCATATCAGAAATCAGCCACTTCGAATATGCCTGGCCAAAATGTGCCTGGTAGTTACATGATGAACCCATGTAATGTGCAGTGCAATGATCAGGCGTACTGCCTTCACCCAGGGGCCGATGGTAAAAGTGGAGAGAGTGTTTTGTTGAACGGCCAAAGTTTTAATGCTTGTGACTTTGAGAATCTTGAGTGCCTTGCAAATCAAAACACAGGAGGAGCGAAGGAGCTTCCTGACTGTGGATTAGGCGACACCACTTCTAATGTCAATTACTCAGAACTAAATCAGAAGAAAGGTGAAAGAACCTGAGCACTTAACTTTTAATCTTGTAAGTTTTATGATTGGTGCAGAGTATTTAATTGATTGATATTGGTGTTTGTGACTTCTTATATCTTTTACTTTCTCAACTTGTTATGATGCCTGATGCTTGACCCAGATTAACCTCTTCATTTTTTGAGTACTTACAAGAATAAGCCTTGTAGTTTGAGACAATGGTACACTGGACTGTTGATTTCGATCGCAGATTAGTATCATGTAGATGTCATAGAGAACTTCTTGCTAATTCCATTGGTGCATGGTTCTATCTTATATGTTGCAATAAAAGCCATTTGATTAATGATCAATTTTGTAATAATAGTTAAGAGTTCTTAGTTTTTGAGAATTTATGGATAAAAATATCTTGGTGGAGCATTTTAACTGTGGCTTAGTTTGTTTGACTCGATGTACTTCATGTGTATATTATCACATCTTAATCTCAGGTGTATATGAAAGATTCTGTCCAAGTTATGTGTTATAAAAGTTTGACTCGATGTTGCCTGTCGAAGCGAAACCTGGCTGGCTCTTGAAGATCTCTCTACCGTTTGGTCATAGAGCTAGGTTCTTTTCATGTTTAGCTTGCAAGATTCTTGCTGGTTTCACAACTTTCATTTGTTGGGCGTTCAATTCAATAAATTTATTTCCAGCTATCAAACATCATTCTCATCATCAGATATCACATTTGTAAACTTTCATTTTCCATTGGGGTGTAAGCAATTTTTTGTACATGTTCTTCAATAACAACATGTGGGGTGGAGATTCAGACTTCCGTCCTTAACCAGTCGAGTTAGGCTTAGGTTGGCAATAACTGTCAGTTAAACACTATCATCTTTCCTTCCACTCCTTTGTTTTTTTCCTTTTATTTACATTTTTTCATGATTGTTAAAGTTTGATACGGCTCGAGGACTGGCCTCTATTTGTTTTCAACTACTAACAACTCTTTATATGATGCTCACGGTTCAATTAGGAGGAGGGGTCTGTAAAGCAACAGAAAATGGGAAGAGCTGATCTCGGACGTTATCTGCATCCTTTTGTTTATATAAGTCTGCTACGAGTGTTCCTGTTCTGTTTTGTGCAGCATCAACGTTGTCTTTCAGGTTTTCTCTTCCACATCCCGTTCACCCTCCTAAAACATATTGGGTCGTCTGAGATGCTCATTTATATTGAATGAAAATATTAAGCAGATGCCTAAGCAAGCACATACTTTTAAAAAGCTAAAAACCGCCCACTTAGGATATCAACCTTCATAGTTTAAGACGGCCAATCATAAATTAGCTGCTGGGGTGTTGTATTGTTAGTGGTTTTAGCAAACTTTCCCTCTTTCTAAGACAAGAAATTTCTTGTGTTCTTTAGTTACAGAACTAGGAGATGGTAGGATTTCAAGAAATCTTTGATCTGCATTCAACGTGCAAGAGAACTTTTGAGCAGCATGTACAGTCTAAGAAGAAAGGTGACACAACTCTCTCGAAGCGGAGGATTTTTCATCGACTTGTATTTCAAGTTATCCGCGTGTCTGCTAAATGGGGCTCACCATTGTTGAGTAACAAATGCTCGTGGCAATATTTTCAAGGTCTCCGAGGAAGTATTCGCGTTTGCCACATTTAGTGGGTAAGTCTCTCTATATCTGAACAAATAGGTAAGTTTCAGAGGAGATATAGCGAGCCTTAGGCTCTGATATGTCAGAGTGAACTGTGAATCTTCTGTATTACCATGGAAGATTTTCAATATGCAAAAGAAAGATTCTGAAAACATCTGCTACTACATTATCAGTTAACCAGCCATTTTAATCAAATATGGAACATATATTATCTTCCCCTTGTTCTTATGAATAATTTCTCTTTAAACTTCTGACAACTGACAAATTCTATGGAATCTTCTACTTTAGTGGTTGACATTGATGGAAAGTGATCAAAATAGAAGATGATGGCCATTAATTTGCATCTTTTTTTTTTTTTTTTGGGTATGGTGGCTTTAGCTAGCTTTAGTTATGATTGGATTTTTCATGGTTATGTGAAGAACTCTGTATTGAAATGCTCGTCACCACTCTTATAAAATCACAGTAAAAGTTGTGTAGATGAATGCAATTTTAGCTCTTTTTGTGAAAGATCTGTTTCTGAAGTTCAACAAGAGAATATTTCAAATGGTGGAGAAACTATTTTGAGGAATCTTAGGGATAGGGACATTATTTGCTTTAAATCCCTCCACTTTCTTTTCTAGAGAGTTCCAAAATTATTCTATCATCTTTAAAAATTAAATTTTGTTTTTAGGGCATATTTCCTAATCGTCCTTGTTTGTGTTGTTCTATTCTTAATGAAAGTAGTTTTTTCATTAAAAAAAAATAATAATAGAAATACAGAAATGTAGGGTTGGTTGAACGAGGAAAATGAGAGATAATATATACTCCACTATGGTTTGGGTTCTCACTCGGTCGTCCATCCTGGAGACTCTACTACACTACTCAGTATGACTTCACTTGTATGAATCGAAAGTCTTGAAAATGCTATGAAGTGTACGTTGCAATTACTTAGAAGTAAGTTTTGTGTAAAAGTTGTTCCTATAGGATAGAAAAGGATCCAATGATTGGTTAGTTTGATGTTGAAATTGATGACCTTTTCTTTTTCCTGGCTTGCACTGATTGGTTCGGTGCAAGTCGACACTTTTTTTCTTTTTTCCTTTTTTGACGCAACAACATGGTGGATGGTAAGATTTGAACAAATGGGTTTGAGGAATAGAATCACATATGAGAACCGAGTTGACAAGAAATGGGCAATCTATAGAAAAAATGTGAAATCTTGGATTCGGATCGACCAACTCGATTTTTCATCTATTATCGCGCACCCTTATAGACATTTATATATAAATAATTAGGAAGCCATCAAGAAAAAGGTATGAAAACGGTAAAACATTATTTTTATATTCGGTTGTAATCCTTATGAATATTTTCATAAATTTCCCTCCTAAATATGCTATATTATACTTTTAAATTTTGATAATAATAAATATTGTATTTTTTAAAGTTTTAATTAGATATAAAGTAATTTGGAAACTTATTTGAAAAATATTATGGTACCTCTTTTCAAAGAGATCATTTTAGTAAAACAAACATTTCTAAAGTGAAAAAAAAAAAAAGAATAATTTCCATTCACCGGATGATTTCTGTTGGGTTGCCTTGAAGTCAGTTTCTCAGAAGATATCATTAAACTCAAAAGTATTTTTTATTTTCTTGAAATATAATATTTATAAGGTAATAATGTATTGATATAATTTTTGACCGAAGAAGAAATGTGTGATTGGTTAAAAGTTCTGAAATTTGCTCAAATAATTCAGACTCAAACGTGCTGTTTGTCAATATTCGTGACTTTTTTTTTCTCTCTTTTTTCATTTGATTGGGAGCTGTTTTTCAGTTACCTTGTTTTGTCTCTCCATTTTTGACAAGCTGACAACTTTAATTAATTCAAGGATTCAAACTTCAAATTTGGTTGATTTTCTGGTACTAGAATAATCTAATTTTCGTAATTCTCAAAATAATAATCGTTAGGAATACGACCACGCTCCTCAACTTGGATATACCAAAGACGAGGAGGGGTTGGTCTAAAACTCATATACCCCTTAAATGAGAGCCTAGCTTGTGCCCAACCTTGGGATGCGGATAGTGCTGTCAGACGATCTCCCGACGTTTGGTAGAAAATACACTATCATATATGTAGCGTCAAAAGGGCAAGGCAACACTTCCCAAGGTTCTCTTATAAAAAGTGGAGTTAATTCCTCTTTATGCAATACAACCAAGTTCGACTCAACACCAACTCAAACTAAGTTATAACTTAAGCTTCAAATAGGTGGTCGAGGACTACAATGGTGTAAAGTTTTGTTTCAGGTCATCAGTTTGGTGGATTTGAAATCAACTTGGTTTGGGTGCTGGCATCTCACATCGTCTAGAATCCTACATCAATAATAATATTATTATTATAAATTTTTACACCTAAATTTATTTTTAAAACTTGTACAATTGTTCAATTTTTATCTTCCAAAATGAGGTAAATTTTTACCCTCCCAAAAGGGCTAGAGTAAATTTAGGGTAAATTGAGAGAGAATGAGTTCAAACCTCATGATTGTCACCTACTTTAGGAATTAATAACTATCCAATTACAATACTCTTGACAAAAGAACCATAATAAATAAAAAGAAGAAGCAGCTCTCACCTAGGAGCGAAGGATTTGAACTAAAATTTTCAGAGGGAGGGGATAGGGTATTAAGACATCTGACACATAATTTAAATGCGGGAACTTATCCTCTAAAAAAAGGAAATATTGCATGACTTAGATCGTAATTATAAAATTTTACTGCTAAATGTTGTAGAGTCAGATGGCTGTAGTGGTTGAATTGTGAGATAAAGTCCAAGAAAAAATGGTTTAAAATATAATCACGTGGGTTTAAGGGTTGATTTTTAGAGATTCGTTGAAGCTTGTACCTAACAATGAGAGAAATTTGGAACATTAGTATTTCCAATTGGCTGGATATTCGGGCCGAAAGGGATTTTGAAGTATTTATCTTCTCCAAAAAAAAATGATAATAATAAATAAGTAAAATAAGATCAAATTTTAATGAAATTGGACGCTATAGGTCAAAGTTGATTCTTTTTTTTTTTTTGAGACTAAAGTTGATTCATTGTTAACTTATGAAAAAAATTGAAATCTCTCATGCATTACTTCTTAGATTAACTCTTTTTTTTTTAAGAAAATCTTATAAATAAATATTTAAAAATAATTGTCAAAATTCGGGCCAACCATGAATGGGCAAAATAAATAGTGTTTTTTTAAGGCAAAAAATATTAAATATTGTAAAAATACCAAGTGACTTTTTGTTCTAGACTCCAAAATATTTAGGACAAATTTACCCATAACACAAAAAATAGTTATATAGTTACTTCAACACAAAAAAATATATATATATAATAATAATTAGATTAGGTTGGGTTGCACACTTCATTCGGATCTTTCGAATAGCATGATTGAAGGTAAAAAAATTCCTCATCCAATCCCAATTCGTGTACACCCCAAGTTCAAATTCCTATAATATTATTATTTCCTTACAAAACAAAATGGCCAAATTGGGGTATGCATAGAATTGATATGAAATCTTATTATTTCTAGGCAATCTAAACTCATAGTAGTGATCGGGCTGCTGAGCCAAATGGAAACAAAAAGAAGGGAAGAAATAAAAAATAAAAAAAAAAGCACCAAAGCAAAACGTTTTAAATGTAATAATTAAATATTGTTTGGTTAGAGAACACAATAAATGGGCAATATTGTTTGGTGGGGCAATCCTCTCTTCCTTTGTTTCCAATCACTTTCCCAAGAGTCTTTGTGTAAAACAACACAACAAGATTGGAAGTTGCCATGAAACAATACCTTTGGATTATTTGGTTTCAAAACGTTCAATTTGGACTATGTATTTTCTATTTTTATCTATTTGAGTTACTTTTTAAAATGTATATTTTAGGTTTTCTATACTTTTAAAAAGTGATCATACCTAATATGAATTATTTAGTAAGAAGTCGTGGTAATATCTCAAGAAATTTATTGAGTATAGTATACCATGAAAAACCATGGAACTAAAATGATCCGTTTTAAAAAATACAAGGATCAAATGGACGTTTTGGAAGTACAAAAATCAACCTAAATAAAAATTTAAATTATAGAAATCAAAAAAGAAGTTTTAAAAGTATAAAGACAAACAAAAGTTGATGGTATATAAATCATAATAGGATTTAAACATTTTTTTATATATTTTCTTTTCTCGCAAATTACTAACCCACATATCAAAAAAATATACAAATTACGTAATTAAAACTTCTAATACTATTTTTTTCTGTAAGGCATGGGTATAAATTACATGAACTCCGACTTGTCTTTTTTTATTTGTCAATTCAACAGTATAGTTGTCATTGATTTTAGAGTTGGTAATAGATGGTAAACCTACCATCTGAACTACGCTTGGATTGATTTAAAATATCTTTAATTATTGAGAGATAGGGAGTGTGAATTTTTTTTTTTTTTTTTTTTTTTAGAAATGATATCATTCCTCCAACCTCAATTTTTATGTGGAGTTTTTGACATATTTTTGTAATGGTGAGAAGCACTGGCAATATTTTGAAACATTTTCCATACGTTTATAATATTTAGTAACGTAGTTCAGATAGACATGCTTATTTGATAGGAATTGTTGGGTGAGAAAATAAAATAAATATTTTAGGATACTCTCACATTTTTTTAATTAAGAAAAAAAGAATTAAGGATTAATATATAGGAGTGAAAAAAGAAAAAAAAAAGTATTCCCACCCGGTTTGAGGTCCACCAAATGAGAGGGGGTGAATTTATGAAACATGTTAAAGTTGAGTTATTAGTAGAAATCTTCCGATCTCGACTTTAATTTCCTGAATAGGAAAAATGAGTGGACACAATATTAGATATCCTTAATTAATTTATCCAACTCATCAACTTAAATTTTTGGATTGAGTGATGGTAAATTCATGACACGTGATTGGTATGTTAAAAAACACTCACCATTTTATAGAAGAATATTTAAGGAGTGCAACCTTTCCATTATATATGGTATCACTAAATTTTCTACACGCATCATCTGACTTCACTAAATGATATTAACACAATGAACTGGAGAGTATTTTAAGTCATTGGATAGTGGTAGGTGACCCTTCTAGTTCTACTTCGTCGGTCACATATCCAAGCTAAAACTAAAACTCGGACACGTGTCTCCAAACGAATAATCCAATAATGTGTATATATGTTACAAAATTAAACATGTCTACGAGCTATCACGATTCATGAGGTAAATTGAATATATTCGATGGTTTCTACTAATGTGAAGTGTGTAGGGACGTTCGAAACTTTCATGGTCACCGATCATAGTTCGTACACCATAATTTCTTATCATATAGTACAATATAATTATGCAATTTTTGTACGAGTAAATTAATTGTTTTCTTTCCCAAAAAAAAAAAAAGAAAAAAAAGGTTTAAAGTACTATTGTAAAGGAAATATTGGTGGATATGTAAAGCTACTGTCAGAATTTATCTAAAATTAGTTTTCTCCATCAAATATTCTCAATGGAAACTTCTAGCGGATTTTTTTATTCTAATATTTTACCAAAAATCCAATATTTTAATGTGGAGGTTAATATTGGACGACCCTCCAAATGGCAAAAAAATGTAAAGTTTAATATCAATGTTAGTACTTTGATGTGATATTGTGATGTTTACTAAAACAACTCCCAAGTTCAATTAGTAAAATAATCGCGAAGTTCTTTATTTTTATAAATTTTATAGATGGTAGTGATTAATTAATGTCACACGCGTCGTCTTTAAAGGATAGTTTGGGTGGTTTGGAATTTCAAGGAATATTCTTGAGGTATCGGGTTAAAGTCACATGATAAAAGAAATAATGTAGGGGTTAATTACCCTTAGTTGTTGAATAGATTTGAATCATTATTTTTAATAAAATCTTAGTTAAATTAAAATTGGCTCTAAAGTTTAAAAAGTATCTAATTTGTGTTTCAATTTTGTATTTAATAAATGTTTAAAACAGTTAATATTTTCTAAAATGAATTGGTGATGTATTTAACATAAATTTGAATGGTGTCTAATAAGACTCTTAACTTTCAATCTCGTGTTTAATAAGTTCGTGAGTTTTATAAATGTCGATTAAGTGAATGACCTATTAGATATAGAATTGAAGAGTCAATGATCTATATATTAGGAACAAATTTGAAAGTTTAGAGACGTAATTGATATGCATAAAATTTAATATTCAAAGATCTATTAGATAGTTTTTAAAATTTAGAGACCTATTAAGTAAAAATATGAAAGTTTAGAGACTAAACTTATAATTTAACCTAAAATCTAAATCTTTATTATATTAAAAGGTAACATGATCAAGAATCATTTTTAACCTATTCATCTTTTATATACTTTAAAACTTAAACTACCTTTAGTAGCCATATTTTTATGATTTAAATAAAAAATAATAATGATGTTTAATGCTTTCTACCTCTCCTCGTATTTATAGGGGGAGTCTTTTCCGATTTCGTTTGACTCGATCGAATCTGATCTAATCACTTGGTTCGATTTGATCGACCCAAGCAGTTCAACTCATATCGCTTCCTTAACTTCGTTATAGATAAACTAGTACACTAATTACATACTTAATAAAAAAAACATTCTTAAAATCTTCATCAAAATTTAAAGATTAAGAAATAGTTTTAAAAACTTATTAGTTATTTTTTGAATTCGCTAAAATTTAAAAGTTGCTTTTCTAACAAAACAAAAACATATGTCAAAATTCATGCACCTAAAAGTTTTCTAACTTTAAATAAAAAGTTAAGTCAACACTATTGTATAAAATACAAAAAGTTATTTGAAAAAAAGAAAATAGAAAAATAAAAAAGCAGCGTGATCAAGTTTACTTGTTCCGTAAGGCAAGAGGTTGAAATTGAAGACAAAGACAATGAAAACGATTTGACGGAAATTCAAATTCCCAAAACAAACAAACCCCACACTTTAAATTAGCCGGTTTTCTAACAGCCTTAGACCCACATAATTATTATTTCTTTCTTTCTTTTATATTAATATTTTTTACATAAAAAGTGTCCGTGTAATTAAAAATAAACTTAAAGAAAATTAGAATTAGGAGTGTTTTGAAATTAAAATATTGAGATTAAGTTACTATAGTTGGAGACTTGGATTTGGGTTCAAAAATTTACAAACCGATTTGGTGTCAAGATTTTGTAAAGCTTACCTCACGCTCCAAACCTCTTACTCTTATTTGTATACAAAGTGCAAGTTCATTCGCTCCATCGCCTAGTCCGATCAAATCTGGTCTTATTAGTTGGTTCGGCCCAAACAACTTATGGTAATTTCACCTATAACAATTATGGGTCAATTTTATAGAATTACCACCCCAACTTTTTATTTTAAAAATGAGTAAACAAAGCTTGATACAATTTAGGGTGTGTTTGGGAGTGATGGTAGAATTAGTGATTTTGAATGAAATATTTAACTATAATTGATTTTTCAAAATCACCATTCAAGTGATACCTTAAAAATCAATTTAAAATAATTTTAAGTTTTCTTAAAATCAATTTAAAATGATTTTAAGTTTTATTAAAATCAATTTTATAATTTGTCAAACATGATAAAAGGGAAGTGGTTTTAACAATGGAAAAAGTGATTTTAGTCATGTCAAAATTTCCAAACGCACCCTTAATCTATTTAATTTTCAATTATTATTGATGAATTAGTCCTTTAGCATCAAACAATTAGTTCCTAAAAATCAGTTTCGAGTATAAATTATTAAGCTCGGTAGATTATTGACCCATTTATTTTTTCATTTACTCACCGGTGACTAAAAGGGAAAAATAAAATGGATTTCGAATTCCTCCATCTTAGTATTAAAAAAAAGAATATATGAAGAAAATAATTTAGTACCAATGTATTGAGAGGAAAAAAATCAATATTATATGGGAAAATGATTAATGAATATCCATTAGTACGGAAAGAATTACAAAAGTAGTATAAAAGAAATGCTATGCTACATCTATAGTAATACATTTTTCAAATTTACAAAAAAATAATTAAATACAAAATCCAAAATAAGTAACAATACTTTGTTTGTTTTTTGTTTTTTTTCTAAAAAAAGCATTTTATTTGTTTTACAAAATTCTGATATATTTTAAAATATACTGTTTTATTAAGTCATTAAGAAAAAATGTGTACATATGAAAATAAAAATGACGAGGATTCTAACTCACAATTGTTTATTCAAAATTATAGTGACTTGACGAGTTGAGCTGTGTTTAATTTGACTATAAACATCTAATTAAAGCTACATTCTTTAAATATAACAAGTGTGGGTTGGAGATTTGAATTCATGATCTCTTTGTCAGGTGTCACTTACCGCTGAACTAAGCTCATGTTGACATCTCATTATAAAGCAATACATGTATAGTAAAAAGTAACAACTATAAAATGTAACGAGTTGTTTGTGGACCTAGAAAAGTAACTCCACAATATTACATGCCTTAATACAATGAATGTTTGACATGTCATATTGACTGGAAAATAGGAAAAAGACAACGTGTACACGTTCTAGTTTAAAGTGAGCGATCATAAAAGAGAGATTTTTATTGCTTCTTGCCACTTTAATTATATGATAAATCCTTTTCAAAAAAATGGATGAACCAAATCCAAAGTAATGTGAAAACTTGTAAACTAAGATGGTAATTCAACATTTAATATAATATTACTTATAAAGACTATTAATTCAATAAAAATACGAATGATTTAGATGTGTAAATAATAAAAACGAGTTGATACTTCATATTCAATACACCATATCAAAAGACATATTTCCATTGATAAAATTTAAATCAAACTCCCTAAAAGATTTGTTTCTATTATTAACCCAAATCTGACCAGAAATTGTAAATTATCCCAAAAAGAAAAAAGGTTAGAACTCAAAAATTGAAAATAAAAGATTGATGAATGTCAAAATCAAAACGTCCATGCCCCACAATTTATACGTGATATATTTATTCGAAGTTGACGAAAAAAAAAGGGTAGAAAGTTTAGATTAGATCCTAATATTGAGGAAATTCGAAATGAGGCAAGTGGGGAAATTTGGTTTGCATGAGTCAAAATCTGCCTACTCCGGAAATTCAATTTTCTTCCTTTCATAAATTAAATAAATAAATTTAAGTTAATCCATCAATTCTGTCACAATCTGTTGGGTTTAATTTTAAAAGTTTAAATTTAATCCGTATGAATCCCTTAATTTTGTCAAAATATTCTACATAGTTTTTTAAATCTAATCACCAAATTGAAAATGAACTGTAGATATGGAATCAAATTAAAATTAATTTCGAACTATGTATATAAAAATAAAAATAAAATAAAATAAAAAAGGAAAAAAACGCTCTATCACTTTAAATATCTGACCCACCCGATTGTTTACTCACCATATCTGCATGCACTGCTCGGTGTTTACCGCCTCCCTTATTAAATTCTAAATAAATATATATATATATATAGAGCATAGCAGGGCCGCTTTCTTTTGTTATCTTCACTGGGAACAATATAATTCACCGTACTCTGAGAAACTCATAAGAAGCAGCAGCATATCACGAAAAAGCTAGAGAGAGGATTCTTGATTCTGGTTCCGTTTTGATGCAGCAGAGCTAGAGCAGGGAACAAATTAAACTGTTGCTTTGAAGAAGCAATCGCATTTGCGTTTCTGTTCTGGAAGCGGAAGGGCCTGGGCCTGATTTTTGCCGTTTTCCTTTCTGTTTCTGTTTCGAGACATCAATGGCCATTCAATTGCAGTTGCAGCGGCGGAATTTTGGCCTTCCCTTCGATTCTCCTGCTCAGCTTCATCAATTTCGCCCTAATATTCTTCAATCGGGAGAGCACAATCTTCTTTGTCGATCTGATCATTCTCACGCCGCCTCTCTCATGGCGGAAATGCCGACGGACCACATGGATCGGTTCATCCGATTGCAGGTTTGCTTCTTCGGTTTCTCGGCGTTTTCTTAAATTGTAATTTGCGTTTTTCTTTTGGTTGATTTTGATCTTTCTGAAACAGAGTGAAAGATTCAGGTTACTCCTGCAACAGAAAAGAAACCAGCAAATCGGAGTGTTGCTGAACCAGATCGAGACCAGAACGCGCGTCCTGTTTCAGCAGAAGGACGAAGAGATCGCGAGAGCGAACAATAGAAGAATCGAGCTGGAGCAATTCCTGACGAGATTACAGATGGAGAATCAAGAACGGCAGAGAGCCGTACAAGAAAATCAAGCCGTAGTCGCGTCGCTCAGCCACGCGCTCGAGCAAATCAGAGAGAGGATTTCGTCTGGCGCCAACGACGACGCCGAGTCTAACAACAACGTAGGCGGAGAAGACGACGCCATTGATCGCGGAAAGAAGAGGATGATTTGCCGAATCTGCAACTCTCGGATTTCGTGCGTTCTGTTCTTGCCTTGCAGGCACCTCTGTTCGTGTAAGCCATGCGAGAGCGGTCTCGATTTCTGCCCCGTCTGCAACGCGACGAAGAAGGCCAGCATAGAGGCTGTGATTTTCTAGGCAAATTTTCCGGGAAAAAGGTGGAGTTGAAGATGGACGATGAACAGAAACCGTGTCAATTTCAAAGCTCGCTTTTGGTTAGATTTTGGAATTATATCCGTTTCTTTTTCTTTTTTCTTTTCTGATCTTTGATTGAAGCTGTAATTGGAGGCAAAAAAAAAATCCAAAATCAAACTAATACAGAAAAGCTAGACAGAAAGCATCCAATAACTTTGCTGGATTCTTTGTTTCTTCTTCTTCTTCTTCTTCTGCTAATTGCTTGCTTACTCCATTTTTAGATTTTGCTGCACGTCGGCTGATTTGACTCCATTCATCACTCTTTTTTAAATGCCTTTATTTCACAACTAGACTTGTGATACTACATTACTCTACGTAAATACAAAGATTTAAATTTTGCTTTCTTCCTTATCAATCATATTAATAATAAATAAATAAATAAAATTTTGTTTTCTTCCTTAAAATCATAAAATGTGTTGATTCTCAAAATTTGTGTGCTCATAATTTTTTTCAACAGATTACTTAATTGAATTAGAAAGCACCATTACGCCTAGAAAGCGTTTGCTTGGTGAGATTATGAGCAGCCATGTTTGTGGTTCTTCTACACATCGTGATGGGAGAGAAACTCTCCCGGGACACTGACAAATCAATTAAGTGATTTTATGTTTTCCTAAAATCATGTTTTTAATTTACCAAATATGAGAAGAAATCGCTCTCTAATACACCCTAAATTGATATTAGGTTCAAATGTGTGTTCATATAATTGGCACATATCTATTAAAAATTAAATTTCAAAGTTACACTATCTTAACTTAGTGTTATGTTGAATTCTTAATTTTGTATTTAAAAAATTTTGAAATTTTAAATTTTGTGTAATTTTTAATTTTGTATTTGGTAAATGTTTGATTTATTAGATAATTTTTTTTTAATTCGCAAATCTATTCAATACAATTAAAATGTTGGAAAAACACAATTTAATACTATGTCTAATAGATTGATGAATTTGAAAAAATGTCTAATAAATTAGGTGTTGCTGAACTATGCTTGCTTACAACGTAATGGAGGAGGTCGAAGATAAAACAATCTTAATATTTAAATTACTATTTAAAAATAATCTAAATATTTTAATTTAGCCATCGTATTCATTCCAACACATTTTTTTAATTGGAAAAGACACATACAATTTAAATAAAAAGTAAAAAATTAACATAATATTATATATTTTTGTAATCTTGTTTACTTCCATAAAGTCATAATAAAAGTATATAATAAAATACAAGAAACCCAACCTAGTATCCATCATCTTTTCGTTGAAAAATTAGGGTTGTTTCATTCTTCTTTTTTTTCTCTCTCTCTCTAGAAATTCCAATATATTACTCTGGTTCTATTGGATTTAATAATATTATTTATTATATATTATTGTATAAAAATTAATATTATAAATAAATATAAATATTTAATATTTAATAAAAATTTATTGGGGCTTAGTCGAGAATGAGGATGGGTGGCCACCTTATCACTGACTAGAGACTCGAATAATCTAGATTTAGCCTGATATCTAGTCAAATTGGAAATTTCTCGAACTGATAGAGTTGGAGACCTGCAGATTTATTCATAACTAATTTATTCATGTAAAAATAAAATAGATTACATGAGAATGTAAATAATTTTATTTAAATATGTATTTTCAAATATAACATCAATTTAAATCTATATAGAAATAGTATAATTATAATTCATTCAAATTAGCCCAAGTTTAAATGTAACATAAGCAGATTTGTCAAAATCGTATTTTCTAAAAATTTATAATATTGTTATAATACATATTAAATTTATGCAAAATTTTTTAGTTATAGTTATAATTATGAGGGGTGTATTTTCAAATGTTAAAAAAACTTTAAAATAACACAATCAAATTTCAATTCAAATTTAATATAATATGAAATATGTAGATAAAAAAATAAATTTATTTTATTTTTGTAAATAATTAGTTATATTGTTTTAAAAAATACATAATGTATTTCCTTTAAAAAAATACGTAACATATTTGTGTTATCTAGTGAAATTCCTTTTATATTAAAATTCATTCGAATTAAATATTCGAAATTACATGATTGAAATACTTTTTCTTTTAGAAATAAAATTTTACACTTAAGATAGGTTTAAACAAAAAAACAAAAAATTATAGCATTATATATGTTTTTCAAGTAGTAAACATGAGTGTTCTTTGTTATATACTTTCTAAAATCAGTTTTGAAATGTGTAAGAAAAACAGTTTTTATTTTTATTTTTATAATTTAACTTATAATTCAAATATATTTATAACAGATGAAAAAAGGTCTAAACGGGGGGGCTTTTTTTTTAAAAAAAAAAGAAGAAAAAATAGTCTAGGGGATTGTGATTAATAAGTTGAACTTTAGTTTAAAATAAAAATAATATTGGGTCCAAAATGAAGTTAAAAATATTAACTATATTAGCCCACCAAATGAGACTAAAAAACTAACTATAAAAAAAAAATCAAACTAGTTTTTATGTATATTATTATTATTATTATTATTTTGAAACAATTCAAACTAGTATTAAATGAGGGCAAGCCCATAAGAAGTCCATGAAATACAAAAACTCACTAGGATGTCATTTTTCCAGAGAATTAAAAATTGTGATCTTTATATATAAATAATTAAATACAAAAACTCTTTATTGTAGGACTGGGGAAGATAATTAAAAATTGTGATCTTGATTTAATAAACTTTATTAAACATGTGTATAAAATTAATTATTGAAAATAAATCTGTCAAAAAATAAAAATAATATAGTAAAATATTTTTTAATTTATAATCTAAAATACATCTTTCAACAATAATTGAGATAGATAGATATATATATATATATAGATACATATATATTTGAATACATGTGGGAGTGGAGAATCGAACTCACAACCTCTTGATTGTATGTTCGCTTTGGTAATTGATACATATTCCTTCTCTTGAGTTTAAACCCCAATACCCTAATTTGTTGTACTAAAAAAACATTTAATTAAAAAAAAACAATTAGAATCACAAACGTTAAAATTCTCATGATTACATTTTCCAACAATAGTAGAATTAGTGATTTTGATGATTTTAAGCTTTTCTAAAATCAATTTTCTAATTTGTCAAATATGATAATGAAAAAGGGAATGATTCGGACAATATCAAAAGTGATTTTGGCATGCTCCCAAACACACCCTTTAAGTATTTGGTAAACTACAATTTTATCCCCGACAACATTTCTGTTAGTAGCACTAACAGAATGCTACTAACAGAATACTGACGTAGTATAGAAATTAAGAAATTAACGAGCAATTAAAAATACCTAAGATACTTTTGTTCAACGACTATCCAAGCGAAACCCTATTAAAAGGTAAAGATTGTTACACTTATTCAAATTAGGTTACAATTTGATAAATATAATACTCCTAATACAGGGCTATGCAAAAGCCAACTTTTTCTTTTTCAAATCAATACTGCCATTCATAAGCTCATTTCAATCCTCCCACAAGCCCAGCCCAAAACTTTCTACCAACCCAGTTTATTACTGTTTAACAAATTATATTTAAAAAGAAGGAAAAATATATATAGTTTCTTTTTAGGTTAAATAAACACTATAATAAGAAATAGGACCACTAAGGTTATATCAGAATGGTAGTGATCATGCATCACATTCAGAATCTACGAATGAAAATAATTATCTCAAATGACAGATATCATAAATGACACTTGACCAATAAAACAGCTTGCGTGTTTAAAGAACGAGAGATATGAACAAATTTCAACTCGTGAAATACCTCCTCCAAAGTTACAACATCACCAACTACATTCAATGCTATTGGAGTAAACTCCAAAATTAATGGAGAAATCTTGTCTTTTATGGCAACACCATCCGGGATTAGAAAGAAAATAATTTTCTCCATAGTTGCCTTATTCTCCACCATGACTAGTAAGGAAGGAAAAGTCATAAAGGCTACATTAGGCAAATTCTCCAAATAGTCATGAATGTCAATACAGTTAAGACTAATAGCCTCCTCAGATTTCTAAATTTGTGTTCGAGTCGATCTCAAGTCACACCTTCGTCATCGACCACCTTTTGCTTCGTTATCCTTGCCTTTGAACCATAGAAGTCTTCTAAACCAAGATTCAACGAAGATGAAAAGTCATTCCAAGAGATCGTAGGTGATGCCTTCTCCAGTCGGGGCCTGAAAAACTCTTCAAAACATCATGATAACAAAGCCACTAATCATACATAACATTATTTATTTTGATTTTATCAGTCGCAACAGCACTATCAACATCCAACGAGGAGATCCTCAAAATACAGTCACTATAGAAACTAGTGGGGAAGAAGAATCCTCCCCGAGAATCTCTTCCAAAATAGTAAGAGAGGTCCTCATGATATCTCGATCCATGAAATTTACTTCTTGAAAAAAAACTACGAAAGAACCAGAACAAAACAAGATAAATGACCTCTAAAATACTCAATCAAAAGATTGAGACAATAAAACACACCCTTCACGAAGATAAGGAATCAGGCCACGGGGCCGCTCCCTCCCCACCAATTCACGTTAAACTAGATAAGTATGATAATACTATAAATTAAAAGAAAATGTTTGAATTATCAATATGAGCTTAGTTCAGCGCTTAATAGTCACATATCTGTGACTCTTTTTTAATTTGGAAGTTTGAGTAGAGTTATTCCTTTATTGATTTTGCGTTAGATTGCAAGGTCTTAAATGTGATGGAAATATTGTCCTAGGTTGATTGATCTTTTTAAAAAAAATATAAAAATAAATATTCATAACAAATTAACAGTCTTGCAAAAAAAAATATCAATATTTTTATTATGTCCATATTAATTATATTATATTTATATCTTGTCAGTTTCTTCCGTAATACTTACAAACGTCGATTCATCTTTCATGTCAAATATTCATATCAAATAAAATTGTAATTCTACGATTGATTGAGATTAATTTTATCTGTAACTTAATTTTCAGTCCCCTTTCTCTCGCCGTACTCAAATTCTTCTCGCTGTCAGATTCAAGTTTCTTCTCCTATGCATAATTACCGCCATTGGAGCACGACCTCTCACCTTCTCATCTCGTCGTCTCCATTTCTCAACGACCACTCTCTCTTCCTCTAGATACTCACTTCATCGCTCGCCATTGCTTCTTCCCTTTCTCCTCCTCCGACTGGTTCTGGTATGATTCAAGCTTTGATTTCTAATTTCTTTTGATTTCTTCTCCATTCATATATACTCTCCTCTTTCTGCTTTCTAATTTCTGTCGTTCTTCCCACTGGGCCCAGATTCGAAAATGTGGATGGGCCTCGCATTGGCCCCACGGTTTTTCTTTTCTTACCAAGTTTCATTTAATTAATCATCTCGCTTTGCTTTAACATTGCAGTTATTCCGTTGTTTTGCTCCTCTGTTAAGCAAAGAATCAGAAAGAAATCAACAAAAGGGTAGCAAGCCGAGGGTTTTTGATTTGCAGCCGAACCAGCTGTTCCTCTTGAGGTTCGTTCTATCAACCAACCCCTCTATTCTATTGTACCTTCTCTTCCTACCTTGTTTTGTTTGGCTACTTCATTTCTTGTTAGATTCACTGAACGTTTTCTTGATTAATCTGATAAACTTTTTCCATACTTGCGCGGATTCAAGGTGATACTTAATCGTTGAAATATGCAATGGATGCAGGGATTATAGATTGATTGATTTTGATAGAGCAGTTCCATTGACTTTGTTTTGGGCTCTTTGAGAAGCTTCCATGGCTGACAAGTTGGTGCGAAGACAGAGTAAATTGACCGTGTACCTTTACATCCCCAATATTATTGGTGGGTGTCAAAATTTCTCTTATTTTATGTCTGTCTTCAAATCTGTTCAATCGGCTATGCGCTAAAACCCATTTGTCCGGGGAAACCAGGGACTCATTTTGTTGTGTTTTTTACAATCTTTATATAATGAATCTCTTGAATGTCATACTACTTACTCAAGATTCAAGAAGTCTACTTAATTGCTGAAGCTGGGATGTGAACATGAATTTTTAATATAATTTCTTAACTGAAATTCAGGTTATATAAGGGTTCTTATGAACGTTGTTGCCTTTGCCATATGCTTCTCAAATAAAATAATTTTCTCAGTCCTCTATTTTGTCAGGTGAGAGTGCTTAATTTCTCAGATCCCTTTTTGTTTTCCAGCAATGTCTTTGCAAACTGGGGGAAACTGGACTTGTTATTTGATTAAATTCATGTTTTCAGCTTTGTATGCGATGGTATAGATGGTTGGTGTGCGCGCAAATTCAACCAAGGTACTACTTACCCTGTTTGTGTTTAGCCTGCTATCGGTGCATATGAACATATACATACAGAGATTTATTATGTATCTTCTTTACCATCACTAACAAATAGATGTAATTCTTTGGGTTTATCATAAATATTTTTAGGCAGTATTCACCTTGGTTGTGATGGTTTTCTTGGTTCCCTTTTGGTTATCTTTTTTTCTTTCTTTTGGCAATCTGCAATATGCAAATTTTAAGCCGAATTAAATGTTTATAATTCTATGACACCTAGTGTTAGTGCTTTAGTTGAACTAAATCGAAGCAAAACCTGCATTTATTGGCTTCTCAGTTTTTCGGGAAGAAATTTATATTGGAGAGCCCCCAAGTAGTTACTAGTGCATTCTGCTTTGACTAACATTTCTATTGAAAGGATGCTTCCAGAACTCTCAATAACTTGAATTCTGATAGTTGTGTAACTAGGACAATTACCCATAAAATGTAATACTTTGTCTGGAATGATTCAGTTTCCACTTTTGGGGCTGTGCTGGACATGGTAACAGACAGGTACAATCTTCTTTCTGCTTTGTATTTTTATCTACATGCATGTCTCAAATCTGGATGTCATGCTTGTTATTATAACTTTATATTGATATCAAGCCCCTCAGGGCATACAATTCTGCCTTTGATTGACAATTTTGATCAGAATCTGCTATATCACAGGATTAGCACTGCTTGTCTACTAGTAATTCTCTCCCAAGTATACAGGTAAAGATTTCATATATATTATTTTTGCTACTTGCAGATGATTTTTGAAAGACTAAAAAACTGAAATGAAATTAGTTGTAAGGATCTTAATCTATTAGAGGGTTGTAATGCAGGCCTGGTTTGCCTTTCTTGTCACTGCTTGCCTTGGATATTGCTAGCCACTGGCTTCAAATGTACAGGTATTATATTTCTTTTATTTCGCTTGATCATGTGGATATTTTTTCTCCACTATGTGAAATTATATTGCTGCATCTCTGATTCTTCCCCCTATTGCCTCAGTACTTTTTTGAAAGGCAAAGCTAGTCATAAAGACGTCAAAGACAGCACCAGTTGGCTGTTTAAGGCATATTACGGAAATAGGACATTTATGGCTTACTGCTGTGTGTCGTGTGAGGTAATCTGAAATCCTGTTTGTTAATTACTCTATTACGAACCCTTGTTGATATAGCTACTTTCTTGTTTTCAATCCCCATTTTCTGTCTGTAGGTTCTTTACATTATTCTATTTCTTCTGGCGGAGAAGCAAAATGAAAAATTGATGGATGTGAGTATAGTTTGTTATCGGTGTATTAATTTCAGGTTTTAATAAGGATAAACGATATCCCTGTGGTTTGAACTTGCTACCTTTTTTCAGGTTATATTGCATTCGATACAACAAAAGACACTATTATCACTTTTGATTGTAATAAGTTTGTTCGGATGGGCAGTGAAGCAAGCTGTTAATGTCATACAGGTAATACATGTAGCAAGACCTCTATCTCTTTTTAATTTACTGGATTCAATATGAGTGCCTAAATTCGTAGAAATTTCAGAATGAATCTACCTGATTTATACATCCTACATCTTGTTTTAGCATGTGATCCATGGTGCCCCGTAATCGTAGGCAGTATTTAACAGAAGTATACTTAAACTTTTTATTATGTTGATGTCTGCAGCATTTTTCCGGTGGTTCTGTCTTTGAGCGCCAAAATTTTATAGGCATTTTTCCTATGCCAATTATGTGAATAAGGTTTTGGTTAGTACAAGTCATCATCCCTCACTTTCTAATGGACGATGCCTGTTGGTGATCCACTTTTAACTCATTATTGTTATGAAATCTTATATTCTAGACTCTTGCCAATTTGCGGTATTGCTCGACCCCTGTTCTAATTTATCATGCCTCTCTTTTCTCCACCACTGTCGTGCTCCCTGCCACAATCCCACTCTCCCCTCCTGCTCTTTCAGTTTGAATTGCATACCTCTGATGGGTTTTCCCTTTCATTAGATGGACTTGATTGATGAGTATGAGAGTTTAAGGTGGCAGCATTGTCTGTCGTATAGATTCAGTCAGAGAAATTTGCCTAATTTTAAGTTGATGAGTGTGTGAATGAATATGGGTTGCCGAGTAAGTACTAAGTAGTAGCAACACCCATTTCTAATATATCGACTCTTGTTTTGTTTCAGATGAAGACTGCGGCAGATGTATGTGTGCTTCACGATATCAACAAAAAGAAACAGAAGCCATGATGAGATCCTTTGTAACATTTGTTTCAGTAAAGCATTCCTGTCTTACTCACATGTCAAATATTTTGTAGTTTACTTTTTTCTATTTTGAAAAGTATTGATGCAGCTGTTCTCTTTTTATGTCATCTACAAACTATTTGCCTTTTGCTGTTTGGAAATTGTTCCCTCGTTACTAACATATAGAAACTGTTAAAGGTAGCAAAACTTTACCTTTTTAGTAATTTTTTGGACTGACATGTGTATAGTTCAATTAGTAATGCATTACTTTCTTAAAAGTCGGAGACTTGAATCTCCCGCTCCTTGTTGAACTAAAAGAATATACAATAATAACTCTTAAGTTAATGACAGTGATTCCAATCTTGATATATTTGATAATAACTTTAATTTTGGATTACTTCACGTGATGGATTATGTACATCATGAGTTTACTGAAGATCCTATTAAACAAATCGTGTCTTCTCTTACAATGTTAGAAACGAATTTGAGAGATTTATTTCTTTACTTTGCAGATCTGTAACTAGAGAAATGATATGGCGATAGTACGGCTCACAGAAGGAAAACTAGAGAAAATTTTGCACAAAACATAACAAACAAACCTTTTACTAGCAAATTCTTCTAACAATGACAAGAAAGCAATTAAAACGTTAAATGTCGAAGTCTAGTAGAGGCTGAACCCAAAATACTGACTGATGAGAATGGCAAATCCAAGAGCGATTGCTATAGAGGAAGCAGCCCATGTGAGCTTCTCAGTAATCCTAGGCACTCTCTCCTTCAGCGCCTGAGTACAAGAACCTATGAACACTGTATAACTTCCCATTGCAACCACAGTCCCTGCCAAGAACATCACAAGAAATGCAGCTCCGGCCGTGCGCGACGGAAGTGCAAGTGCAGGCAATATCATCATCAATGCATCTGGTTGCAGCCCGTGGACGATACCCGTCGCGAAAGTTGCAAAACCTATCTTCTTCTTGCCTCCTGTTGGATTGTCCAACGCTTCGTAAATGCTAACATCACACTCGCCGTTGTCTAAGGCGACGCAAGGAGTAGGAACCTCCGAAGCCTCCCTAATGCCTAATGCACCGATGACAAGCAGAGTCACGCCGACCACTCTTGTACCCCAAGTGCGAATAATTTCGATATGTAGCCGGTCTTTCAATAGGAGAAATATGAGGCCGAAGATTACCTGACCTGCATCATGGCCACAGCCCCAAAGAGCTCCAACAGCAGCACTTTCCATGCGAGTACGCCCTATGGAAAGGGGTGCCAAAGCAGCAAGATGGTCCGGTCCCGATAACGTGTGCAAACATCCAGCGAAGAAACCAGTCCAAGCACTGCTCAATAGTTCAGACCGGAAAAATCTTCCCCCAAAGGTGGCAGCAGCAGGACCCCCAGTGGTGGCTGCAGAGTTGAAGGATGCAAAAGCTGAAGGTGCAAAAACTGGTTGGATCAAGATCAGAACAGCAACACAGAGTGCCATAAGTGTCCTTGCAGTTTTTACCTAAAAATTTGCCCAAGTATGATGCATTAGAATCGCCATGTAGGTTGACTTAGATGTTCATAATTAATATATCTCATGTTTTAATTATGCAAGTACTCTGCCAGCCAATAATACAAAATAATTATAAGATCCATGCATACATTGAAATATGGATGATAGATCAACTTTTCAACTTCATATATGAATCTTCAGCAGCTCCACATATGCAGTATACTTGGAATGTAAAGTTGTAAAGAAAAGTTTTGAGAAGTCATGGCTCTTATTAAGCATCAAGCACACCATAAAGTGATAATGAATATCCTACCTTTAAGCCGCACACCAAGTGAACAACACCTGACTGCCGAACTAGCTTATCAACAACCCTTCCAATCCCCGATCAGTTCTGGCAAGTTCCACACTCGGCTCTCGTCATGTAAAGATTGTTTTCACTTTGTTTCTTAACTTGTACTAGATCTCCTACCTCCAAAGCGATAATCCAGCCCAGGTCCAAAGTTTCAAAATGTTTTCCCCAAATCTTGACAAATAGATGGTCGAGCACATATGTTTTCGGGTTGAGACGTCTATTTTGAATTCTTTCATTACTTTTATTTTCTAGAAGATTGAGGACCAAGTGAAGAACTGGATTTCTAGGAACCTTGGGTCTCAGATCAACTTTTCGATTTTCCTAGCAAGGAAATCATCCACACTTTGGGTCAGTTTGAGATAGAACTTGGGATGTCTCCTTTGGATACGTTTTGTCGGTATTTATTTTCTAGATTTCCAGATCAACCGCTTGCTTTGGCTATGAGGAAGACGTAGGGTAAGGTAGTCTAAAAAAGATTTGTAAGAGAATTCACCTATTTCCAGCTTCCATATGCAGAATCCAAGCTAGATTGACGTTGCCACTCCCCTAATTTGTGCCCGACTGAAACATCCCATTTCAGTACTTCTCTATCACTCATCAGCCTAATAAATTTCAAGCTATAAGGTTAAGACTTTAGAAAATTTTTGCCTCATGTCTATAAGCAAGAGAGTGATATCTTCCCAAATTCTGATTCTTGTTCCACTAGTTCTTCAAGTTTGGTTTTGTTAGCAACAAAACTTAAAATTACTAGTTCAATATTGACACTCAGAAGGACATCAATTTCAATGGCAATAGTCTTGACCAACAACAGCATAATCCTATCGCAAAGTCTGTTCTTGGACTGAATCTTCAATCCTTGTGGAAAGATATCATATAATAGAAGCTAAAAGTTAAGGGCAAGGGGATTAATAAATCCAAAACCTATCCATCCATTAACCAAACTAGCAAATTACTTTGAATCATAAGAGAATCACTATAAGCCCCATTCTTTTTTACCCTTTCCCGTATTCTTAACAACGAATAAGAATTACGTTACCCATTGATCAGTGTGCTAACCAGCAGTTCAACCACAGAGAGTTCATCAAACAACAGCGAAATGGATCATGTCAAATTGTGATAAAATCCATCAAAATACAACAATGTCGCAAAAACAACACCCATCGACCAAATTTGTCTAAATACCTTTCGTCCAGCAGAGGGCGGAATTTCAATCCGCTGACATAAATGAGGATTCGGCGACGACCCATCTCGAGAATCAGTCAGAGACAGCAAAGAATTGGAAGAAGCAGGCGGAGGACGAGAAGAAGAAGACGGCAGAAACAAATTTTCGCTTCTGGAAGAGAACGAATTGACCCCACCGAACTCAGAACGGGTTGATGAGGGGAAATGGAGTTTTAATTGGTCAATTCGTGGGAGTCGAGGAAGAAGAGGAGGCCGCCTGAGATGGGGTTTTAATGGGGTCGGAGAAGAAGAATACAGAAGCCTCTCCATGGCTTCTGCAAGGAGTTTGGTTTCTGGGTGTGAGGTAAAGATTCAGCAAAGTGGAGAAGAAGAGGATCTGAGAAGATAAAGTTGTCGCTCAGGGTGTTAAACTAGAAGAAACTGGAGATGGCGATCGCATTAAATTAATTTCAGCCATTGTTTGCTGCTTAAGCGTTTATCTAAGCTGCTTCCTTTAGGCTTAGTGGCTTATCATTGTTTTGTTTTGTTTGTCACAGTCGATGATTATGAACACTTTGTTACCCTAAAATTAAAAAAAATTCCGATTTTGTTCCTCACTTTTTCGAATTATTATTTTATTTGGTTTTTTCAACATTAACAAAATTATTTTATTCCTTAATTTCTTTGATTTAGTCTCAAATTAAATAAAGATTAAATATTTTAGACTAGAATTAGAAAGTTTATTAAAATAGAATTTAAATCTTACTAATTTTAATTTGAGAAATCCTATTTAATTTTGTTTTCTATGTTTTAGTTTGAAATAGTATATTCCATCTTTTAAATTTAACAATATAGGGTGAAATTTTGAATATTTGATTTTTAAAATAGATGTATAATGTATTTACGATCAAGAGAATATAGTCTCTCACAAATAATTTGATAGTATTTATAAACTTTGTTTTTTTCTACCTTTTTTTTTCTTCCCTAAGTTTATATTTGAAACCATGGTAACAATACTTTTACTAAAATAATCCCAACTTATGGATATTCATTTGTCAATAATAGAATATTGAAATCATCATCTTTATTCTTTACTAATTTATGTAATAGATTTATCATTATAATTTGAATATGAAACAATAACTAAAAAAGAACAGCATATTGGGATGATAAATTTGAGCTCACGACGTTTTGATAAAAAAAATATATACATTAACTAGTTGAGCTATGCTCAAAACCATATATAAATCTTTTTTTAGTAAAACATACCATATATAAATCTTCTACGTGAATAATCACACATTTACATTTAGGGTGTGTTTGGGAGTGATTGTAAAATTAGTGATTTTTTAAAAAATAGATTTTAGTATAATTGATTTTCCAAAATCACCATCCGATACTTTAAAAATCAATTTTAAGTGATTTTAAAATTTCTTGAGTTCATTTTTTAATTTACCAAACATCATTAATGAAAAGGGAAGTGACTTTGACAATGACAAAAGTGATTTTAGCTATGTCAAAATCACTCCCAAACACACCCTTAGATAATAGTGTTAAAAAGAAATATTTACCAATTTGATTAAGTCTAAGTCACGTCAAATTGTCACTGTATTTAACACGTATCATTAATGAAGGAAATCAAAAGGTTTATGAGTTATACATCAAAGAATCACAAACATAGAAGTATTGAAATAAAAGATAGGTTAAATTAAAAATTTGATCCCTATAGTTTGGAATTTATTTCAATTTGATCCCTATAATTTTAAAAGTTTTAATTTGGTATACATGATTTGGCTAAACCTCACGAATTGCCCATAAATTATATATTTTACCACTTATTTCTTTTTTTTTTTTGATACTTTTTCCTCAGCCATAACATTAACTATCATAGTTAACTATGTAAAAACATTAGCCCATTGTCATGAGAGAAAAAAATGTATTCATATGAAAATTAGGTAAGCCCTAGTGTCCAAATTTAAACAGAGCAAAAATCATAACGACGGAGAAGTAAAACTTTTAGAATCATATAAATTAAATTGAAACTATATCGGAACTATGGGGATTAACTTTAATTTAGTCTAAAAATATATAATTTTTATACAGCTAGAGAGAATTAAAGGTTACACAAGTTCCATTGGAATATCGAAAGAAAAAAGAATAGGGGACAGAATGGACACATGGGAAACTTGGAGTTGTTGACAGTAACGTTTGGAGAAAATTGAGCATCTTTTGAAATTGAATGGATAAGTTATTGAACGGAAATATTGGGTTTGGTGGAGCAGCCCCCGCGCGCTTCCACGGCCCCGGCGCGCGCTCGCCCTTACTCCACCACGCTCAACCCCGCGCGCGCCACACGCACGCACCCTTTCAAGTCTCAAGGTAGAAGCCCAAGCCCACCCATTGTTCTTATTCTTGGACATTGGCATTTCTAGCTACAACTATATATATATTTCCATGTCTTCTTTTGGGGAAGCCATGATCCCAAGTTGTTAAATTTAGGAGATGAGCTGCAAAATCCCTGAATACTACAAGGATTGTGTGGGCATTGTTTGAACTCGATGGACCAATGAAGGAAAGCTTGCATGGCCAACGACGGGCAGTTCAACTCGGCCACTTTTCTTGGACAAAGTTTGTTCGGTGGGATATTCATTGACATTTGGTTAAAAACTCTCTATTCAACAGTACGGCTTGGATTTCTCGAAGCACGTCTCCCTAGCTATAAAAGGAGGAGTCAAACCCTTCTAAAAGGTATGCAATATCATGCATCATACTTCTTGCTCTCTTCTTAACTCTTTCAGACTGCATTCTCACTTAAGCTTTTAAAGTGCATTTGGAAGAACATCGCACATGTTTTTAAGTTCGGTCTTGTAGATTATGCACATGCAAAAGGAGACAAGCACATTAGCATTCTCCGATCACATAAGTAGACCAAATTTCAACACCAATTGAATCGAATTTGTTGGCAGTTATTAATTTATTTGATGAGGGAAGAAGACACAAACCTACCCAAGACCCATTTGTTCATCGAGGAGGCAATGCTTTCTAAGTCCTAATTCATGAGGTCTTGGATGTTGAGAAGATTTGAGGATACGTCTAGAAGATAATGAGATTGCTTATATCTATACTATATTAAAAAGGTAGGATGTAGGAAAAACATTTTTAGACACTTTTGCCCTTTACTAAATTTACAAATTTACAAATTATGCCATTAATATATTATTACAAATATTAAATTAATTATTAATTATTAATTATCAATACTATAAATGCATGGAATATAAAAGGTTAGAATGCAAAAAGTTTTCCAACAACATAAAATTAATTTTTTCTTTAATTAAAATCCATACTAGAATTTCAAGAGTTTTAGAATTTGAAAAGCTTTTGTAACGTTTTATCCTCTACTACTATAAAAATAGGTTTTCTTCTACATGTTTTTCACAAGTTTCAATACTTTTTAATTCTTAGTTCCTTGAAACATCTGTAAAAGATGATTCAATCTTGAAAACATCT